CCACAATTGTAGTAGAAATGTAGAATAACCCCCGCCACAATTTGTGCTTTCTTTGTCGGAGCAAAGTATTTGAAGTCAATTTATAACTTTGCATCTTCTCCTGTAGCTGTTAAAGTTTTTAAAGCGTTAGCCTTTAAATCTTTAGAATAGAAGTTATATCAGTGAGGATGCATCTGCTGCGACCACAGCTGCAGTACTTTCTTGCGCACATGCACCAGCAATTGATAGCTGTGAATTTGCCTCTTGATAACCAAGGAGAAATGAGAACAGGTTAGCTGCATTTGATAGCTGTGATTTCTGCTGTAGGATGAAAGCGTCAATAATGGGCTGCAGGGCATTTTGGTATTGAACCACTCACCTTTTGTCCCATCAAGGTTTTAAAACTGAACCGGACAACAAACCGGTTCCTGCATCGAACGGTCCGATCGTTCAAACTGAACGGATGGCCCGTTCTGACAAAAAATAAAAAACGGTCTAAATCGTTGGATGATTTGAATGGTTTGATCGCCCAGATTAGCGGTTTGCTAATCAAATCAACGGTTTTTTGGTGAAATAACGGTTCTGGGATAAAACAGGACCTGTCACTTGACCAGATCCCGGTTTTCCCGATCCAGTCCGGTTTTGAAAACCACGACCCCCATAGAGGCCGTATTTTAATTTTCCTTGGCATAGTACAGTACTTTCTTCTAGCAACATTAATAATTCTTCTCAAAGGTGGTGAGAGCCAATAACGGGGCTCAAAACCGCATCTCACTTGGGACTATCCAGTTTATGTGCCAACTAAGCCACCACTCGGTTGGTAGTATCTGGCTCTTAATGCTATCTACTTTGTAGCACATCTTAAAAGTTAAAAGACATGTCATCTAAAGCCGTGTTTGGGAGTACTTAAAAATAAGTGCTTATTTGGGCCAGAATCACACCATTAAGCACTTATTGGTGTTTGGGAAATAAGTCCGAAATAAGTGCTTATAAAATTATCCCTAGTTGAATTTTAAAATACCACTTATAAAATTATCCCTAGTGACTTTTATAAAAGTACTTTCGTAAAAGTGCTTTGTATTTTTATGAATTTGCTTTTATCAAAGCACTTTCATAAAAGTACTTTTGTAAAAGTGCTCTCGTAAAAGTATTTTTATAAAATTTGTTTTTATAAAATTTGCTTTTATAAAAGTGCTCACAGAAGTATTTTTGTAAGTGTAAAAGTACTTTTCATAAAATTACTTTTACAAAAGTGCTTTCATAAAAGTATTTTTACAAAAGTAATTTAATAAAAGTACTTTTGTAAAGGGTATATTTTAAAATTTTGAAAGAAGATAAAGGACAAAATAGTCACAAATGCTTATTTAAGTGCTTATTGGAGAAAAGACTACCAAATGCCCAATTATGAAATAATCACAAATGCTTGTTTAAAATAAGCACTTTGTATGTCAAATAAAAATAAGTGCTTATTCGAATAATCACTTGTTTTTAAGCACTTATTCAATAAACACACTCAAACACGGCCTTGTACCGCTTGGAAGGGCTTTCAAGTAACAGCTTCTGACTTTATTAAAGTGGGTCCCACCCACACAACTAATAAGCTATGTTTAACAAACACACTGGAAACTTGGAAAGCACAAAAATAGCTGATTGAGTTTCCACTAAAGTTAAAAAAAAAAAAAAAGAGTTTCCATGCAACCTCTTTTAGGCTGCATTGGCAGTCCTTGTTTTAAGAACTTATTTTCTTTTGTGGTTAAAAATTCAGTATTCATACAGACATTTTAACAGCAAAAAGGAGATAAGTCCTTAAACCCTTCCAAATACGCCCCAACTCTAAAAACGACCAAACTAAACTAAGGGTATTTGGTCCCAATAATAAAGTAAAAAAGAAACTGATTCCAAAAGGATCAGAACCCCATATCAAATAAATAAATAAAATAACACAAGTTATCTGTTTTAATCATACTACGTTGCATTGTGGTCAATACTCAATAGAGTAGGATGTTGGGGTTGGGCTGAAACCAGGCGAACCCAAGCCCTACCTAACCTCAATGGAAGTTTTACATGGATTGGGCCTGCTTTTTGGGCTATGGATTGCGCTTGGTGCCTGTATCTTTTGATATATTTACAATGTTATCTACACTTTATGGTAAACTTATATACTATCAACCGGGGTCCATGCACCAAGCTCGTGCATAAAATGTAAAGACAGTTTAATTATTTACTTTCTCTTTTGTTCAATTAGATGATACCTAAGTTAAATGAAGGTAAAAGTGTAAAACCTAAACCTGAACATACAAGAAAACCTTAGACCAGCCCAGCACTATCCAAATTCGCATACTCCTGAATTAGCCCAACTTGTGCTAACTGAGTTCAGCTCATCAGGCGTAGACATTGCACATTGGATTGAGCTGTGCCCACACTTGAGGTCCAGGCCTTAGGGTTTGGGCTGGATAACCTTTAAATCCAATCTTTTCACAGACAATTTGCAGAGCAGCAGAGCTCACACAGTCAGACCAAGCGTTTTGAAATTTCAACAAACGGGATAGTTTCCCGCATAAACACGGATTCGATTTCTGCAACCACTGAATTTGGAGAAGGGGGTTATTACTTATTAGTAGTGCGTATCATCAAATATTTAACTACTAATTTCCAGGTCAGCACTTCCAAGGTTCAATCCAAACAGACAGCCCGTTGATGGTTCAACCACCCGGATCAGCAGGCCATTGCAAAAAATCGGTTCAGGGGTAAAACGGTTCAAAAACCATGGCCATATATAATATAATATAAGGCCTGGTGAAATGAAATCATCTCATTCCTTACTCATTAGCATGTTGATAAAACTTAGAAGCAGAAATGAAAGTCAACTTGACTAGTTTTATTAAACAGAAAGCATAGGTATGTAAGATAGCTTCCAGACGTATCTAGTAATAAGTAATTAGTTTTCTAACAAGGGAAGATTGAAAGACTCATCGAAGCACAAGGAGTGAGGAATTAGTTTTCTATCTAGTCGATCAGTTGGTACTGTTAGTGAATAAAAACTTAAGCTTGTATGCTGAACGGTTCCCTGAGTGACAAGTGGGGCTATCTTGTTGATCTCAAAATTTTAGTCCAGTGGGATCAGTTGTTCAACTGTCAAGCATTCTATCTACTGTTATGATCTCACTTAACCTCAAGTTAAGTGATATACATAACTTGAGGCTTAAGTGAGAGCATATATGCGTGTACGTATATCTTTTCATCAAGAAATGATCCCTTTAGGCCGGCTATACGTCAATTTGGTTTTCCTTATAGGAGCTTTCTCTCAAGTTGATATTTCTGTTAAATCAAATACAGCCTTAGAAAATAATTAAGTAGTTGAGATTGATAGCTCGATTCCCCCCCACGAAATCCTCGGGACCTCATCTAATAACATTAATTAATTAGATGCTGAAATTTTCAACTTTTATTTCATTTTCCTTGTAGGAATCAGTTATGGACAGGAAATTCTCTGTTCAAGGACTTTACTATTAATCTAACATTTTATATGTAGGTTCTGAAAAGACAAATTAAAGGGCATATGTGTATGAGTTAGACCTAGAACATGCATGCATGCACGTTGACTATTATAGGGGCCTGTTTGGTTGGGTTTATCAAAAATAAATAAATAAATAAATAATGGGATGCTCAAATATCACTATCAGTATTCAGTACTGTTTGATCCACCCATGCCCATATTCATTAATTAGCAGGTTCATGAACCTCTTATCTTCTATGTGGTCCCATTCTCCCCAGGGTCGGTATATATATGGACCTAGCTACATCATTTAATAGGTTCACATCTGGTTCATTCAACTGTACTAGTCACTAGAGCTTTAGCCTTTAATGTGTTGTTCTTCCTGTATGGCTCACCTGCTTTTCTGAACCGGTCAATCGTGAACTTATTGCACAGTTTTACCTAAATACATAATGCTAGCTGCAGTCTGATGAACTCTCCATTTAAAGTAAGAATGTTAATATGTTCACCATGTCAAAAACCTCTACACTGCTGTATCTACGTGTTCTGATGAATGGATTGTTTACCAAACTTTACACGTGAACATCTATCTCAATCACTGAACTTCTATATCACACGCCAAGCAGTTAATGAGTGTGTATGTTGCTAAATCATTTTCTAGTTTCTAACCAAAAGAAAACCCCAAGGCCCCATTTTCGTTTGTCGGTTTCTCATTGGGATAAGTTGGTCAATTAACTAATTGATCACGATTCTTGTATTCATATGCTGCAGATTCTCCGAATGCTCAGTTGGTCATGTTTGTTGCTCAGAAAACAAAGCGGCTGAAGTTTTGGCCCTTGGCTGGGCCTGGGCCTAAAACTTTACATTTTTTAATTTTTCAAATTGAATTTGAGTTTTTAAGTAGTTCCAGTTCTACTCATATTCAGCCCAACCAAACCCCAGCTCAATTATATATATATATATATATATATATATATATATATATATATATATATATATATATATATATATATATATATTTGTATGTATAATTACGTGTATACCAATAACGCTCTCCCCCTCCCACCCTGGATGGGAGGATGGGTAAATCCCCTAACTTTAGGCTATGTTTGGTTTGAAAAGGCTTTCCTACCTTTTCCTACTTTTTTCTTCAAATCAAACACAGCCTAATTGTCTTAAGTCCATAATTCATGCATGAGGGAAGCTTCCTAGCTAATGCAACTATATCCAGGAATAAGAAGCAACTACAGAAAGAGGATTTATTGACTCATTGAATGATTCTTGCAGAAGTTGGAGAGAAACATCCAACGACAGCCACGGGCCATCAAGAGAAAAATTCCGGCAAATATACTGACTTCAAGACGTTTCCTGATTGACTTCAATTTCTAGACTTTTTAAAATGAAATAAAATCAAGACCATGAAATCCAAGCATGGTTACCAAATTCTTTTAAATATATAAACCATCTGATTTTGATACATTAATCGAAGTCGTCCCCCGATCCTGGCCAGCCTCTCCAACACCAGATGCCAGCATTATCTTCAATCCAGTTTGTGGACACTGCTCTAGCCTGCAAGAGGCCTTTCGCTCTATCTTATACAAGCCCCAAACAGAAATGGGTCATCCGCCAGCACCTCCTAGCCCTGCTTCAGGACTTCCCCACTCTTTCCCCGTCGGCAGACACCTTCGTTCATAACGACGGTACCTCTGTCTACCTTTTAAATGCCAGAGGAAGCCTTCGGATCTCTCGTGCCACACTTCTGGTACCCCTCATTATTTGGGTTCCTCAAGACTACCCTGTTGCTCCTCCTATTATTTTCCTCTTACCGACTTCTGACCACCCAATTCTTTCCAATCACCCTTTCGTCCATCTATCTGGCTTAACCACATTCCCTTACCTCAACAACTGGAACCGCTCTCGCTCCAACCTCTCTGACCTTGCACACAACCTTGTCCAACTCTTCGCCCACCACCACCCTCTGTGTCCTCCCTCATCCTCTCCCGTCTCTAGGTTCACTAACCCCTTTCTTGCCTCCAAGGTAGAGCTCATAGACCGTCTCTACGGGGCGCTTTGCTGCGATGTGGTCGCCCTCCAGGCCAAAGTAGATGAGGAAATACAAGGGCTAATAAGGTTGCAGCATCAACTGCAGGACCGAGCCAAAATCGCAACAACGATTTTGAGGGAGGTTGAACATGAAAGAACAAGTTTGGAAGAGAGGGTGACAGCTTTGATATCGGAAGCTGACGAGCTGCAAATTTGGTTGAAGGCTTACGACTCCGACTCTATTGTTGCACCCACAGAGGGTGAGGTGGACGCATTTGACGCCGATGACGAGGAATCGAAGATGGAGCTCCACCGATGGGCCACATACTTGGCAATAGAAGATTTACTACAACAACTGGACGATGTATTGGAGAAAGGGGTAGTGACTTCTCAGCAATACATTAAGCAGGTGAGAATTCATTCAAGGGAGCAGTTTATGACAATGATACGCAGGCGAAACCAAGAACACTGATATATTACTACGTACTTGACCCAGATAGATTTTCAGTGTTTATATTGATTGTTAATTTATTCCACTTTGCGGGACGGACCAAATTGTTCTAATCTATCACTGGTCCTTCTCCTTGTCCTGATCACTCCTCAGTGTTTCTGTTTTATCTCGAATGCATGTATGACATGAAGAAGCTTTGTCTTGTTTTAGTTAGACTAAGGCTGTCTTTTTTAATTAAGGAACCAATTAGGAAATCTTTGTTCCGGAAAGTTGATTGTGTTGGTAGAAATACTATATCGAACTCCTCACTAGACCTGTTTATGGGCCGGGTAGCCGGATGGCCCGCCCCGCACCCCGGTCGGGCTTGGTCGTATAATTAGGCCCGTAGGTCTGACCTTGGGCCTAATACAGTAAGTTCGGCTGTGTTTCAGGCCGGGCTCAGAATTTGTCAAAAAAGCCCGGCCTGAGCCCGGCCCGGCCCGACTCAATATTATATATTTTATAAAATACATATTAAATATATTATATAAAATACATATTAAATATATTATATAAAATATAATATTTATTAAAATATATATTTATAATTTAATATATATACATTTTTTATTTTTTTTCTTTATAATTTCTCTCTTTCTCTCTATCTCTATTCAGCCATTTCAGCAATAGTAACAAATGAGCTAAATTTCGGGCTTGGGGTCAAACCCAGGCTTCGAGCTTTTTATGAGGACCGGGCTCGAACCCAAATTGTAGGGCCGGGCTCGGGCCCAAACTGCACGAGTTTAAACCTGACAGCGACCATCATCATCTGATTGAAGTATTGTCCATACCCATGGCAAAATTATGGGCCCCTAAATTAAATCATGTTTCACTGTTTCAATTCGGCTACTTGTGAGTTTTGGCTGCCCCTAGGCCCTAGCTAACTCGTCTAGTCACATTATATATATCCTTTTATATCATTATACGTACTAATTACTGATGATGGTTCCCTTAATATATATATATATATATATATTTTCAAACAATAATTTACTTTGTTCCAAACACAACTATACAAATATAAGAGGAAAGTTTCGATATTTTAATTAGAGATGATCAAAAAGAGAGTTTACTTATCCGCCATGTGGCAAGGAATTTGTGGCTCAAATTTGGCCCACTAACGGGGGGGGGATAGGGATAGAAAGAGTAACTTTGTGAAAAATGAAAATGCTTCCAAGTCCTAACCAATTTCTCACTTTAAAGAATCCTCTAGTTTGGCCTGATTTTTATACTAAAAAAATTAAAACTTGGAAAAGCTAATATTAATTGTTGAATGTAAGATGAAGAGTATAGTTTCGATAGATAGCTGATACAGAATGTGAGATTGTATGTGACAGTTTGACTGTGCTGCCTATTAATATGTACAAAATTTATAGACAAAAGGTCGGTTCTAGCATGCCTTAGATGCAGCGATGTAGTTGATCCACCCAATGATTCGTTGGTCGATCTGTATTTACAAGGTCTATTAGGTCTGCATTATCAGAAAAAACTAAAAGATGCCTTGTGGTTTTGAGGCTTATTAAAAGGGCTCATATTCGTTGGACCTCCTTCTGCAATTTGGAAGCCTTTAGTGGTATTTTTTATGATGAATCCTCGTCCTGCACTTCTTGTAACTAGATTAAAAGAACCATCAATAAACATGGAGGGAATGAATGAGTTGAGCAGTGGTGCATGATGAGGAGAGAGGTGAGATTGAGAGGGCCATTCCATTTGCTAATGCAAGCGATGGTTCAAAGATTTACAACTCTGGATTGAGAAAGATTCAAAGCTCGTGATAAACTATCTCAATGAAAACCTTGAATCAATGATAAAATAACATATCACATAGTTGAATCTTTGACGGTAAGTACACCTTGTCGAAACTAATAAAAAGTAAATAGACCATATATTGTCTTCAATGGAATTAATGGTAATCACACTTTGTGAAAATGTAAACTAATGAAAAGTCAATAGATCATGTGATGCCAATTAGGATTACACCTTGTGCAAACATGAACTAATGGAATTAATGAAAAGTAAATAAATTATGTAATATCTTTATTTTGACTTACCTACAACAATTATTTGAAATGGGTTACACAAGACTTAATTGACTTGACTAACAACTTTGCTCCATGCCATCTTTTAGTTGAATATTTATAACTTGGAAAAATAGTTTTTACTTTAATCAAATCCAAAAGGGGGCTACAAAAGACGAGGGTATTACACCCCCAGAAATCAAAAGAACAAATATATGCTAAGGACCACCGGAGGATGCAGATTAAGAGAAAGAGAATCCAAGACATTGAATTGAGTCTTATGAGCTAACCAATCAACAACTTTATTGGCCTCATAATACACATGATCATACCTTTCTCAAACAGTGTCATCATCTGATTTTTTTGCTCAATCCCCCTCTAACCCACTTCTCACACTCCAAATGCCTAATTAGACCTCACCATTCTCTCCAGAATGTGCCAAAACCTAGAGAACCAAATATCAACTAAAATACTCTTAAATTCACCAATCTATAAGATTCCCTTCTGATGGTTATGATTTTGTAACATTGTTGCACTTGTCACATAACCAAACTCCATCGTATGAGACATAACACCTTTAAAGCACCAATCATACAAAATTTCACACTTAAATTCCTTGATTTCACCACTTATCCATCAAAAATTCCATTTCGACAAATCTAACATTGTGACACTTCCTGAGCCTAAGACCTACAATCCACATGTCCCCGACACAATCAAACCATCCCAATAAATTTCAACCCAAGGATATCCCCCATTTTATCCATCCATTAAACCAAGATTCCACTCTAAGACCCCTCATTGGCCAAAATACTTGCAATCCAGCCAAATTTTATACTCATAAATACTCATTTTACCCTTTGTACAAAAAGATTTTGAATCACCAGGTCGGCGATAGAGGCAACTTGTCAAGTCGACAATGGAGGCAGGTTGTCAGGCCGACAGCGGAGGCAGATCGCCAGGTCGGCGGCAGAGGCAATTCGTCAAGTCGACAATAGAGGCAGGTCGCCAAGTCGACGGTGGAGGCAGGTCGTCAGGTCGACGGTGGAAGTAGGTCACCAGGTTGGCAGCAGAGGTAGGTTTCTAGGTCGGCGGCAGAGGCAGGTCGCCAGGTCGGCGATAGAAGCAGGTCACCAGGTCGCCAGTTGGGACTCCATCATTTTGGCTAAGGCAAGTTGTCACCTAGGTGGTTCTGGGGTGTCACCTAGTTGTTCTGAGATGCCATGTGTCATGATGTCAATGGAGGGTCAAATCTGCCATCATCAATTGCCCCCACTCCCGATCTGAGATCAGCTCAGTGAAGGGAGTAGATCTGTGCTTCGTCATAGGTCCTTTGGCCTGTTACCAACATATTTTGAGGTCGGCTTAGGGGTCCTTGATGCTAAAAGTGGTTTGGCTTTCCCTTGTGATATGTGCATCAATGTTGGAATTTAAACAGCGAGTCAATGTCATGACTGCACTGTGTCAATCCTCTAAGGTGCTGGTCGTCTACTCCTACGATAAGCCACAAGGAGCTCAACCTGCGGGGGCTGCTTTACTAATTGCAGGTTGCCAGCTCGCATGGAAACCTTGAAAGGCTCAACCCGCAAGGGCGACTACAGTCCGTTGGCCACCAACTCCCGTGGGAGCCATAGAGGGTTCGACCTATAGGGGCGACTTCCGAAACAGGAATAACACGGCTCACCTGGTCAGCGGAAGTAGGTCACCAGGTCATCGGAATTTTGGCAATCTAATTTAGCTCTCAGCACCTCGGCCTACAAACACCTTGTCACCTCGGTAGGACTGACCTACGAGGGTGGCTCCACAACCTGCTAGCCATCAACTCCCACGTAAAGCATGGAGGGCTCAATTTGCAGCGCGACCTCACAGTTTGTTGGCTATCAACTCCCACGCGAACCACGGAGGGCTCGACTTATGGGGTGGCCTCACATTCTGTTTCAACTCTCATAGAGAGCACATAAAGCTCGACATATGGGGTGGCCTCACAGTTAGGGAGATTCTATCCGGGCAAGACTGTGAGAACTCATTTGGGCTAATCATTTTGCTTTTGCCCCCCAAGGGAGTTCTTTCGATCAAGCGTTGTTGTTGCTTGAAGATGTTATTACTTGAGGCTCAAAGAATCGAGTGAGGACATAGCCTTTTGTAGCTTTTCCCACAGACGGTGCCAATTGATAATGCGCACTTTGGCAACTCCCAGTTGGCAGGTGACTCGGATGCCTAGCTGAATGGTGGCGAGCTGAAAAGGTGCCTCTTATGCCTAACTGAGTGGTGATGAGCTTGAGAGGTGGCTTTGTTGCGACTTGCAAAGAAACAGTGTAAGAGTGCCTAGGTTGCTTTACCCGGGGTGGGCATTGCGATGCTTAAGTCAGCGAATCAAAGATTTTTAAGATAGCTAAATGTGAGAGAGCTGGAGAGCTGCGAGAACTAAATTGTGCATCTCCCTTTTGAGGTTGGAGGTAAGGCCTTTATATAGGCATTGTTTGGTGTGGGCATCATGCAACACGTCTGGGATCTCCGGGAAGACGTGCCTAACTACTCCAAAGTCCTTGAAGGTAGTCGTGCACGTAGGCCAACCTTTGTGCCTTACTCGGTTTCCTCCAAAACGTTCGGTGTGAGAGCTAACTTCCGAGGGAACCGAGAGTGATGGGATGCATGCAGAATTCGTCGGCGAGCACGTCTCACAGGTTACCACTTTGACCTTAATCAGGTCGGCAAACCTTCGAGGGAGGTCGCCTCGGCCAGTAGTGATGAGGTACCACAGGTTAGCCCTAGACGAGGTGCTACTATCCGTCTTGAGTTATGGACGAGGTCGCTAGTTAAGTTTCCACCAAATCGGTGGAGGAGGCAGATCGCTAGATCGGTAGCAAAGGTAGGTCATCAGGTCGGCAATGGTGTTATTGTCAATTTGTCTCAACTATTTCAATATATATATATATATATCTGTTTATTAATTAGTCTCTGGGTTAGTGGTTGTTGTTGTTGCCATCTTTATTGTTATTGCAATTTTATTTTAAGTAGAAAAGTTTTATTAATGACTCATCTAAATGGGTCCAAAGTATGCATGGACTGATGACGCATAAAGTGATGGCACGCATGGCCAATCCAATATTGAGTATTGGAGAACACTTTCAGATTTGACGACCAATTCAATGATGAGAGCACTCACCTCAATATACTTATTTGTAATTTTCTCATACCCCATGCATTAAATGCTGCTATTACAAATTTTAATTAAAAATTCCCAAAAGAAGGATTTCTTTTGGCGTTATGGACGTGGACCAAAAATTTGCCACATAATAAATAATTAAAATTTCGTCATCACCATCAACAGCATCATTTAGTTTGTGTTTGGTTCTATAGACATTTATTAAAAAAATATTGTTATATCAATACTAAATAGGCATTGGCATTTATTACATATGAAATAAAATAAAATAATTTTTGGTTTTATTATTTATTAAATAAATGGTAGAAAACTGAAACACTTTGATTTTTATATATGAGGCATTTGGGGAAACGTCAAATTCTTGTTTCCCCCAACACCTCAGCCTTTCTTGAAACCAAATGCTGATCTGGCACTTTAGTGGGTATTAATCTGAATTAAATAGTAAAAAGCGTTTAAAGTGAAATCCAACCAAACAATAAAAACAGAAAACATTTCAAGTGAAAAGTACAAATAAACAATTAATGCGAGAAGGTACAAATAAACGGTTATCCATAAAGGCTCATGGAACCAAATACATACTTGAGCCTTGCATCCAAGTCAGTCACATGAATCTTGTTTTGCCATTTCATTTTATTCAAGGCAATATCCATCGTTAAATTATGGATGCTTAAATCATTTTATATTATTTAATTCCACCTAAGGCTCTGTTTTCTTTTCGGTAAGTTGCTTACCCGGATAAATGCAATTATCTAGATAAGTTTTTCCTGAGAAATATTTACCCGGGCAAGTGCATTTATCCATGTTCTTTTATTTCCTAGGTAAACAAGGCAATAACCATTTTAGCCATAAAAATCTATTATTGAAATGGGCATTTTTGTTACATTCAAGTGTTGCCAACCTTCCCCCCAGGTGGAAAAGTTATTTACCCACCTAGGAAATGGGTATCACTTACATGGGTAAGTGGTACCCATGAAAATAAACATGGAATTCTTAGTCAATGAGAACCAAAATTCCATTGACCAACTTTCCCCTCTCTCAAGATCTCAAAAAAGAACGCCCCCTAAGTGTACTTGGGCTGCCCCTCGATCTTTTCTAGTCGGTCCCTTCAACTTGAAACAAATCATTTTTCCACACATGCTATAGATGTTCTTCATGCACATGATTAAACCATCTTGATCTACTTTATCTCATTTTATTATGATTTAATGGGGCTATTTGTAGATTTCTTCATATGACTTCATTTCTATCCTTTGACCTTTAATTTCTATTTTTCCCACATTCTTTTTTTTTCGAATATATTATTCCATACGGCTCCATCTACAAGTGTATATAAAAGGAGGAGAGTTGTGTATAAGGTTAACGGCCATTGTCAAACTCTTATGACATTAATATATCCTGAATTGTCTTCGTGCTTATAATAAACAATTAACATTTAACGACACCAATATACAACATTAATTGAAGCATCATTTGCTAAATCAATATCCCCTTTTTATTGTCACAGTGAGTTTTAACAAAAACAATTAATCAGATTTCTCTTGCAAATGTAAGAGTTCAGATAGAAAGGTTTGTTGAAAATTGAAATTCCCAATACAGGCCAATCAGGAAGGCATTTTGGTAAAATATATGGTATATATTTTATTGTGGAATGCTTTTATTGACAAGCAAAAAAATAAATGTGATTAATATTTTTTTTTTGAAAGAAATGAGTTCAAATCAGCCCCCTACAACGTCTCACAGCATATCTCTATCGTACATTAAAAATATTTTCCGATGATGATATCATCATTTCTAGTATTATCATCAAGAAATGTTCTCAATAAACGACAGAGATGTACTGTGGGACATTATAGGGAGCTGATTGGGCTGATTGTGATAGTAGTAATTATTTACAGATTTCATGCTGGTACAAATGGCATAGCGTGCCCATTGAGAATTACAGAACATGTGGGTGGGTCTTGAACAGGAAAAAAGACTCCTATTTTATTATTTTTTTCTGGTAAAGAACTGACTTCATATACTATTTTATAATTAAAAAATTATTGGTGTTTAGTATACATAAGTTGTGGGTCTCACATGGGCCCCATGTGTACCAAACACTGGGTGTTCGCTTCTAATTGGTTGTCCAGCCCAACGTTTAAGATTTTGTTTCCAGCAAATCTGGATTGCGTGTATGTAGCAAGGTTCATGAATACTTGGGCCTTGTTCACATCTTGGTAAATGTATTTATTGGGGGATAAGTGTTTTTCTGAAACAGTTATTTGGATAAGAGCACTTACTTTTATTCCCTGATAAAGATGTACAATAAACCGATCTAACCAAAAAAGTGATATTATTGGAGGTAATAGTGATTTTCAACATGCATGAGTAAATATGTATCCAAGTCTAAGGAGATTACTAATTCCCCAGTTAAATGAGTCGTTCGAGAATCATTCTTTTTCGTGAGACCCACTAATACCAAAAAACAAATACAAGTTTATTTCTTTTTCGAAGAAACCACCAACTTATCCATTTTTACTTTCCAGAAAATAAATGCCTCTAGAGAAAAAGGGTAAATTGTATATTAATACCTTATACGTTGAGGTTAATCTCAATTTAGTACCCAAACTTTAAAATTTGACACTATATATAGTACCTGAACTCCTTAAAACCATCAATTTAGTACCCATGGTGATCTATGGGTTATCCGTATCACATGAACATGCGCAACTTAAATTTTTTAAGCATGTCAAATCTGCCCATTTTATCACATGAATGACATGTGCAACTTAAATTTTTTAACCAACATTTTTAAGACCATTTCACCTAAATCGTCTTGCCCAGCGATAGCAAGCAACAATAGCAGTCTAACCCCCACCACACACACACATTGTTTTTTTTCTGATGAAAACATCATGTAAGACAAAAAATGAACAGTGGTGCCCAATCACACCAAAAATCTGTTTGTTGTAATCAAAACTCGAAAGATATTTATGTACTTTCACATGCCATCTAATTATTTAGATTAAATTGACAGTTTTGAGAATTGAAATATTGTAATGGTACATTTTGAAAATTTGAGGTAATGAAGTAAGACCAGCCCCATGCAAAGTATAGCATAATAAGTTAAGTGGAGACCTTGGCGCATTGACTGACTAGTCAGTTTTGCTTGGAGGAGAAGTTACAGGGTAGTTTCAGCATTGGAACGGTCGTTATGACCTTGTCAACAAGAAGAAATAAAAAATTAAACTAACTAAATCCGGCTTAAACTATTTTTCTTGATTGACTCGTAATGTCTACTCTTTATGTAATTGAAAAATAGACCAGACTATGACATTCATTCATTCCTTACCACTAAGTTTAAAATATAGGCTAAAAAAGGGTAAATTATATATAGGTCCCTTGTACTTTTGGTAGTAACAAGTAGGTATCCTAAATCTTTAGTTCTAACATTTGAGTACCCCCCCCCCCCCCCCCCCCTTAATCTTCAAAAATAGATACTTAGGTCCATCTGTCTGTTAGTATGTGAGAATGTCATCATAGGGGGAGATGTTGGATTATTATTTGAGAATGATCTCAAAAGGTATTTTTGACATTATGTAATGTTTAAGTAATGGAATACTATCGGATCATAAACCAAAGTGTTTAACTGCATTTGGCATATCCTTCTGTGGTGTTTATAAATCAGCAATACCGATTTTTGGTCTATTTCCATTTGGAAACGAGCCCTTAATTCTTGCAATTGAAAGCCCAAACCAAAGGATACCTATCTGTCGTTACCCCCAAAGCAGAGGATACTATTTTACCCATTAAATAATGCATTTCCACAGGCCAATATTATCTTCTTACGTCTTCCTTCCCTTCCCAACTCCCAAGTTGGATCTAAACCTCTTTCCACCTTCTCTCCCTCTCCATCACCGGTACCGATGGCACCACAACCTTCAATCCGTTTCGTGGACGCTGCTCTGTCCCGCACCAGCCCCTGCGTTCTATCATACAGAAACACCGACCAGAAATGGCTCATCCGTCAGCACCTCCTATCCCTATTGCAGGAGTTTCCGACGCTGTCCCCCTCAACAGACACCTTCGTCCATGATGATGGAACCACCGTCTACCTTCTAAATGTAAGCGGCAGCCTCCTGGTCACCCATGCCACACCCACTGTGCCCCTCACCATCTGGCTCCATCAAGACTACCCTAATGCTCCTCCTATTGTCTTCCTCTCGCCAACTCCCACCAACCCAATTCTTCCCCACCACCCTTTTGTTGATCCCTCTGGTGTTACTACATCTCCCTACCTCCAGACCTGGCACTACACTCACTCCAACCTATCTGACCTTACTCACAACCTTGTCTGCCTCTTCGCCCATCAGCATCCTTTCATCTCTCCTTCACGCTCTTTTATCCGCAGGTTCACCAATCCTTCCCTCGTCTCAAAAGTAGAGGCCATCGACCGTCTCTTTGGAGCACTCCACTGTGACATGGTGGACTTAAATTCCAAAGCAGTTCAGGAAATACAAGAGCTGTCCAAGGTTCAAGCTCAGCTGGTTGATCGGGCCCATGTCGCCAAAACCATACTAGTGGGGCTTGAACATGAAAGAACAAGTTTGAAACAGAGGGTAACAGAGCTGACAGAAGAATCAGATGTTCTGTTGAATTGGCTGAAAGTTAATGGATCAAACTACGTTGTTGGTACTTCCGGGGATGAGATAGAGGCATTTGAGGCTTCAGATGAGGACTCGAGAATCATGCTTGACTGTGTGGCAGAAGACTTGGCCATAGAGGATTGTATATATGAATTGGACAGGACAGTGGCAGAAGGGGTAGTGACTTTTGACCAATACATGAAGCAGATAAGGTCCTTGGCGAGGGAGCAGTTCTTCCACAGGGCTACGCAGATGAAACTGAGACCACAAACTTCTGTCTGATTTCAGGATTTATTCTCTCAGATGTATATAACTAGGGAGAAGCTTTTCCACCACTTCTTTTCCTTCTCAGTGTTTTTTGTTTCATGAGAAGAAAAGTCGGGGCTTTGCCTTGTTTTAGATTGACTAAGCTATCTTCAATGGAACCAAGTGGTTACATGTTTTAGATTGAAATCTCGAATTACCATGTTTCTGTTCTGCAAAGTATGATCAAATGACAAGATGTAAAGTCTTACCAAAAATAATGAGATTCAAAGATTTAAACCAATGCTTCAGTGCTGGAAGTGATGGTAGTTTAGCCAACAGCTTTTTGCTTTCTTGTTTCCTTTGCCTGGTTAGTAATGACCAAGCTGAGCAATCCTTCCCAAATTTGAATAAGGAATTACATCCAATAAACATGAGAAACTTAAGACTACTTGGGTCCAATGCAATAGAAGTTCAGTGGCTGTTAAATTTTATGTCTCCTTCATGGGGATCAATGTTAGAATGAATTCATCTACACTGGAATCAAGTAATGAATTCACACACAGCCACAAGGCCCACAACCACTACAAGGACAAAAATGGATCATAATTACTCCAACCTGTATACCAAGTTGAAATATTTTTTTGTTATGCTGTTGTTTCCTAAGTATAGTTCCAGAGTTATTGCATTGCAGAGACAAAAACAACTCTTGAGAATGGATGGGACTGATTTGAGAAAACCCCAGATTTTATAAACTGGGCACAAACACCTTATGAAAACTCATAAGATACTCCCTGTTTACAGTGATAAAATTTAGTGTCTACACTCCTTCAGTCTTCCAAAATAGGTTCTTTGTAACTTGTAATTCACAATCAGGGTGTGCCATGTCCATCAAAAATGGGATCTGCCCACATCACTCTCCTATAAAATGTTGATGGTTATCCACTCTCACATTGACTAATTTATAATATTCTTTCAGGTTTGAATTATTTACTATATTATTTATTTAATTGTTTTACATTCAATTATTTATTAACTAGAAAATATATGTTTTGGAGGCTTATGCCTTGAGCCTCCATTTTTTTTCCCAATCATGGGCCTCCACATTTGAACAATGAATAAGAAAGTCGAACGTATGGTATAGATGAAGCCGTATAAATGCTACCAGCCCATGCTTTGGCAATAAAAGCGAAATCCAGTAAATGTTCACATAAGCGTGTATGGTATGCCAACTTTGGGTGGGATGGCGGGCCGGGACCAACATCAAATCAAAGTCAACCCAAACTCACCCAGTCTTCGTCGCCTAGCCCATATTGAATTTGAATTGGGTCTGTAACTTCGATTAATTTACTTTTGCCCAAACGAAGATTTCGAGCTGTGTGTTACTTTCTCAATTTCCAACTTCAAATCAACATTGGCTGTGTTGTTTGCGATATAAACGCCGAATCAGGATATTTTTATACTGTTAGGATTTGTGAGTATTAGTTTGATATATAAAAATATAATTATTAAGATGATAAAAATGATTTTTTTTGACAGATTTGTGTCATAAAGAAAGTGCATTACTGTGCCAATTTTTGAATACAAAAACAGGTTATACTGAACCTAGTTTGTATTCATGAACTGCAAAGAGAGTTATGCAGAGTACATATTTGTTTGTATCACAAGTAAACAACCAAATGCAGCCTATGATTCAAACATACCTCTTTTATATGCAATTATATTTTTTTTTCTCATTTTTTTCTTTTTATCCCTTTAACTATTGGTCTACTGATAGGAAAGAAATAGTTAAAGGGGTGTTTGTCCACACTTGTCCGTGTTTTTATCCAAGGTTTTAAAAACCGACCCAAAATTGATACTGTTCTGACCATTAATTTCCAGGCCAATGGTTCGATCGTCTGATTCGAACAGAGCCTGTTCCAACGAAAAAAATAAAATAGTTAAAATAAAAAACAGTCAAAAACTATTAAAGGGATTGACAATTTGCCTATCTAGGTCAGCGGATCGCTAACCAATTCAATGATTTTTTAACCAAACACCATGGAACTGGTTGCCTAAAAGGTTCCCGGTCCAAATAGCCTAACCATCCGGGTCAATAATGGTTGGAGAACATTGATTTTATCTAGTTCACAAAAACAAATAGTGTTCCGTATGCAATTAGTATGCAATTATTGGTTCTGAAACCAGCAAAATGGCCTTTTTTCAACATGACTTTTTATAGATGGACGGGAAGCAAGAATTAGTGTACGCATGACATAGCGGTAACGTGGTGTCACACCAATATGGCTCAGTGATGATGCCTCTACTTAATGATAATTGTATGATCAAAATTAAAGTATTAAACAATGAAGATACGTGTATGTACCATCACATGACATGATCATGGATTGTATGATTACATAATACATGTTTTCACTATTATCTACTTTTGTTTGTAAGGTCATCATCAAACAAATATAATTTGGTTGGAGCCATATTATTGAGTGGCACCTCACACCGACCCAACTGCCCTCTCTCATGAGAACATCTACCGTACTTTGTATTAATATTGATGGGAGATGTTTTTCAATACAAGGTGAAGCCAATCTCCAACTCTTCGAAATGGGATTCAGTTAATGCAAAGCCCGTTCAAACAACCATCATAGTCTTGCATTGGGAATATCTCCCTATAAAATAAAACATAAACGAGCCCTTCAAACAACCATCATAGCCTTGCATTGGGAATATCTCCCCATAAAATAAAGTATAAATGTACGGAGATGTTAACGATGCAAGGCTGTAAAAAGTGTTCAAACAGTGTTCGAACGAGCCTTGCACCGACTGAAGCCGATCTCCCAGTCTTCACGGTCCAGCAGTCTAGTCCAGTCCAAGTCTAGCCCCAAGTCCCTAACAACATTGATAACAGTGCTCTGTAGCCGCTTGGCCCGCTTCTATCGTATTGGCGTGGGGGAAGAAAAGAGCAGCATTGAAACGTAAATTCACAAAAAAAATGGAAAGAAAAGAAACAAAACAAAAGCAAAACTGCAGCGAGCTTTTTATATGCCAGAAAACGGCAAATCCAAAATATACATCCCTGAATTGGAAATAAGAAATTTCATTTTAACAGCCTTAACAGGGAATTTCTGATATGAAAAAATAGTGAAATGTATTACGTAGGTCTGGTCCAAGTTGTCTCCGAGGTAAGCACATTCCCATAGTAAACCTCTTTTGAGGAATCATCCCAATACGCCTAAAGATAAAGAACAGGAAACATGTTTTAGTAAATCAGATCTTCAAATTTTATGAGCAAATGAAATACACACAATAACCTCGGCAATTCATCCTCTACTGAACCTCAGGGTACTCAACATAAAAAAAGGAACAAATTAGTCATGGTCCCAATAACCAAGCGTGATGAGAATAAATGAGAAACAGATTTTTTTTTTTTTTGTCAAAATGAGAAGCAGACTTAAAACCTTATGGAACATATGGTTACAACCATTCTAAAATCTTAGTTGATTATGAAAGGAAAATGTTAGTAGTACAGAAACAAATGAAAGAAACCAAGGAAAAAGATGACAATTTTCAACTGATTCCACACCAAGTCATGGTTTTGGCCTTTTGGGTGACTTGATTTTTAATCTGAGCCTTTTATTACTTACTTCCCAGTTTTAGGAATAGGCACACTTGCAGTTTATTGGTTCCAAGAATAGGCATAGTTGTCATGGCATCAAATTAGAAAAGGCAAGCCTATTCTGACGAGACCGGATCTCCTGCCCACAAGAACTCTACCCACATAACATCACAGCCACACATGAAGAACATCTCATCCTCCCAAATAGTATTAAGAACGAGAAATGTTCTCAATGCACGGGGTAGTGTGTTGTGACTGCCCCGGCTTCCAAGTATCAATACGCTCAAGAGCTTCTTTTGATCAAAACAAACTCTTACTTCTATTTAATCAGACACCGACAGGAAATACGTCAAAATCAAGATTTTAAGTTCAAAGCAAATGAGATCACCTAATAATACCCAGTGGCCTTGAAAACCAATACGTATCAATCCATATGCACCGATACGTTTCAATATCTTAAACCTTGCTTCCATCACTTTTACTCTACCGGTCTACCCGTCACAACGAGTGATCATTTCTGGCCTAGCTCAGCCCACTATATTTATATGCACATATATATAATGCATATAATATATGTAATGTATGTATATATAAATCATAACATATATTTTATATTATATGCGCCAATGGCCCAGTAGTTGAGGGCCGTTTGGGGCACCCCTCCAGGAGGCATGGGTCCAAAGCTGTCATAAATGCAGGCTCTCCATGGTATGGCCCAGTGGGCCTCACATGCACTGCTCTGCCCCACCCCCGATTTCACTGTCCTATAATGTGTAGTATGTAATAGCAAAAAAAACGCATATATTATGTCATACAATATAAATTATCATATATATTAAATATTTTTTTGAAGGTAAAATAAAAATTTTAATAAACAAAAAGAAGATACAAGAAAGGTGATAAGCAATCACCCGAGAGAAAGTAACAAACCAGTCGACAAAAACCCTAACCCCAACAAAAGCCAACCCGAATTACAGCACAAACCCTTAAAAACCAGAAAAAGGAAAACATCGAAAATCAAAATCGCAACCCTAAAATGAAAGGCCAACCCGAACATCCACAACCAACACACAGCAGACCCATCCCTATCACCCTCCCTGCAAAAGACTCAATGCCAAAAAAGCCTCCTTTTATTCGCACAAAAAACTCCGAAACTGGAATCCGTTGTTAACCTTTTCTGTCCTTTTGAGTTCTGAATCTTCTAACTGTATCAACATTTTCCACAGCTTCTTCAAGGCTCCCTGCTGACTTCTGAACCCACCGCCCCCCTCAGAAATTACTTCCTGCTTCTTGACTACTTCCCCACAATCCTTAGCACACTCTTCCCTCCCTTGAATTAAAGTGTTAGAAGAATTGCAGTCAAACACTAGAACGGCCTTTATATATGATCTAATAAATAATATAGACCCAAAGCCCAGCCCAACCCATGATCAGCCCTACTTCCAAGACCCAGATAGTTAGGACCAAAATTGGGTTATGGCCTTTATATATCACATGGTTCGTTTTAAGATTTTACTGTTGGAAACTTGGAATTTAAAGATCCAAGGGTTTTAAGAGAAAAGGAAAGAAAGAAGAGGATAAAAGATATTTATTTTTATTTTGATAAGTTTTTCCCTCTTTTTTCTTTTTTTCTATCACACTCTTTTATATAATAAAATTGCGGCTCCACCCCTTGTTTTTTTATCTTTTCCATTGTATTTGTCTTAAATTTTTTATAATATAAAATTATAGCCTTCTCTAGTTGCTGATTTGTTATGGATTTACGCAATTGAATACTTTTTATAAAAAACAATTACTCAATAAAATACTTATTGTTGTTTTGAAAATATTAAAAAAGAAATTGCTAGTTTTCAACTTATGTGCACGTTAATTAGGTCAAGAAACATTTTTGAAGATATGATATATATATATATATATGGGGAAGGAAAATATACGGAAATGTAGAGTGCATGACCAGTGACATGTTTCTAAGCATACCTGCCATCCAGATGGGAGATCTTTTGAGAGTTCAACTAAATCAGGCTGCTGTTTTTCATTGGCAGGTATCTCTGATTGAGCCTGCACACTATCATTGGTTAATTGGGCTCTTTTACGCTTCACCCGTTCCCGCCTAAATCAGATAATAAGACATCAGCATAAGAGGTAGAGGCACGGAAATGTAAATGAATATACAGAAAAAATCCAGTGCACAGAAATGAGATTCAAACAGTGCTGAAAAAAAGGAGGGTTCAAATAAAGAAAAAGCAAATTTGAACAAGATCTAAATCCTTGTCCAAGATTGTCTAGGTGTTGTTCCTTGCTACCTTAGACTAGCAATAAGCAGATAGAATCCTCGTTGTCAATAACTTGGCAAATTTAATGAGGTGAAAGGAAGTTACATAGGCCTCAGAACATCAACTACCAAAAAAAAGTATCAGTTAAATAGGCCTCGTTGTCAATATTAGATCACAATGGACTAAAGCCTTCACCTCACATGTTAAAAGTCTTTTTTTTAAAAAAAAGCATGTTAAAAGTTTTTTTTTCTTTAAAAAAAAAAACATGTTAAAAGTACTTTTATAACCACAGGATATATATATATACATACACACACACATACACATACACATACACATACACATACATATATATATATATATACACACACACACAACACGCACACATACACATACACACATATGAGTGCAATAAATGACTGATAACAAGGGTCCAAGACATTCATTAAAAAAAAAACAAAGGTCCAAGACCAACATACCAGTCTCCTCCCAGAGGTTGAAAATTAGCATTATCTTTAGCCTCTCCACTGGCAATCTGTTGTGCACGCCATTGCTACAGAAGACAAACTGAATTGTAAAACAGAGGAACCATGGGAAAAAAAAAGGTGAGCCAACACAATAATGGGAATAAATTTGGAGATACCACTATTTCTTTTTGCCGCTTCTTTTCTAATATCTCATAAGCATATTCTGGTTCATCTTCCCCATCTTCATGCAACTCCTCTTTCACAGCCTTCCACTGGCAAGAAGAAATTAAGGTTCCATCCTTTACAATATTAAGTAATTAAACCATAACGTAGAGAGAAAATATAATGCAAAATGCACCTTGTCCACCAGGCTAGAGACCTTCTTATTAGATCTCAAAGTAGGTGCAACAGCAATTGTTCGTTTCTTCCCACGTAAAGCTGAGAAAATGGATAATAATCATGAGTAAAGTCTAGTCAATAAAAATTTAAGGGAGAAAGAGATTGTTTGGTTGCAAAATTTAAGCGGTACAGCATCAACTTAACTGTGACTACAACAGTCTATGTGGCACATTTGATCAAAACATGACATAGGGATCTCCATAAGTAGGGAATATAGAGAAGAAATAGACAAAACAGAAGTACCTATAGTAGTGATTGGAGTGGACATTTGAAGTCTAATACAGATAGTAACATACCTAATTTTATTAATATAAAAAGAAGAATTATTTTTATTTTTTTATAAATATAAAAAAGAAGAATTATTTTTATTTTTTTATAAATATAAAAAAGAAGAATTAATTGTGTACAAATAATAGGCAAGCCCGCATTTAAGATGCCTTCACCACTATCCTTTTACAAAAAAAATAGTATCCCAATATAATTATTCCCTTTCCACCCCTATTTAGCCAATCCATCTGCTCATCTGTATACCCGTGTTGCATTGATCAGTCTGTTTGTTTTAAGCTCATTTACTTCCAATGTTTTGTTTCAATACTACCAATGGAATCTCCCTGAATGACCAGATTTGTAGCATGGGTTTCTTGCCAACATCACCCCTTGCAAGGCGGCTGATAATTCGGCTATCATTGAATTTTCATAGTCTTCTAAGTTTTATTTCTCATTATTGAAAACTCAATCTTTGCAGACTCATTCTAGATCTAGAACCCCGTTCAACACCCTTTTCTTAAGCTTTATGATGAAAAACTATCCTCTCACAAATGTATCTATCTATACAAAAAGATGATGGTAATGAAGAACAGATTAAGGTGGCATTTGATAACATTTTTCAAACATCTAACATCTGAAAAAAATTGCTTTCCAGACATGCAACCCGTTTGTGTTTAGGGCTGAACACAAACTCATGTATTTATCTTTACACAAAGATTATGGTAATCAAGAACAGATTAAGGTGGCATTTGATAACATTTTTCAAGCATCTAACATCTGAAAAGATTGCTTTCCAGACATGCAACCCGTTTGTGTTTAGGGCTGAAAACAAACTCTGATCAAATGAAATAGATCTGAAATGGTAAGGCATGGCCTAGTTGCTTAACGCAATCAGACGTGTATCTGAACCTGACCAAAGTCCTAAATGCCTCCAAAATTTTTCAAAATGGCCCATGTTTCCCCTTCTTCTAAACCCAATTTGATCCCTAATTCGAGTCCTTTCCTCTCGAAATAGAAGAGAACACCATATCACGCCATTGTCATCTATGTCACATCTTCTCCGACAAGCATTGCAAGCATCAATGATGATGGTGATTTTCTGTGACATTTGGATGTTGCGAAGGAAATTTTGAGGAGAGAGAGGGGGTGGAGAGGCAAACTACCGTCATTGCCCCAGTGCCAATGGCCATGATAAATTGACAATGCTGTTCAGTAGCTTGGGTGATTCAAGTCCAAGTTCAAAGAAAGAGAGGAGGGAGGAGGGGGACGAAAATGAGGATGAAGAAGAGGGAGGAAGGGAGAAAGGGTGGACGGCGACAGTTCAGGGCTATCCATTTGCCGCCGAAGGATGAAGCTGTTCAGTAGCTTGGGCGATTGGGGTCTGGGATCGATGAAGAAGAAGAACATGAGCACCCTTCGTTATTTTTTCAAGTAAATAACAGCACCTTTGGTTCTTTTCATCAAAATTTGAAATAGGGCAGTGGATGTAGACACTTTACTATAATGTAAACAGTCAATTTCATTCTAGATAGTTTCTCCATGTTTAAATAAGAATGTGATAATGTAGGTAAAAAAGCCAGATTGGTTGATTTTGGGGCATGTGATCTTTTCAAAAACAAAATAAGATGGACTTCCTACAAGATACTCCCATTTCCATGAATTCTCTAACCATGGCACAGCTATGTCAATTTTTCATCCTAAAACTAGTCAAAAATATTCAGACCCTTAGAATTACTTGAAAGTAATCAGGATTAGCCTGCACAGCAGAAATACATTAGCTTGGGATTACAGTTGATGTTGAAGTCAAGTGTAGGCTGTGTAGCAAAAACAAGTTAGGTTTTCAGAAATTGCACATACCTTTAGATTGAGCCTTAGAAGCAGCTGGAGCAGCAGTACTTGCTGCTGTGGCAGGAGCACTCTCACATACTACAGTGGTCATTGATTCTACTGCGGGTTGCTTAGGTAGAACTTGTGCACTCACCGAGTTGGTAGAAAAATCAGGTTCAACCTTTGAACTTGGTAATGAACTGGATCCAGACTCCGCAAGAGTCTCAACAGATCCCATCTGAACAGAAGCAGCAGTATCATGATAGCTTACAGAACCAGATTCACAATATAAACCTGATGACTCCATGCTACTAACTACAGGTCCAGATTCATTGTAGAAACCAGATTCTGAGCTAGTAATCACAGTTACAGGAGGCATTGGTCCATTAGGAAGGTCATAGTACACTACAGGTTCAGTAGGCACAGGATTGACCATTGCAGGAGCAGCTTCAGGATAGGTGTTCTGTACCGTATCATAATACTGTACTGGCTGGGGCTCAGCAAGCTGATGTGTTTCCCCATGAGCATAATAATTAGCCATTGGCACTTCTGTCATTGTGGCACCATAGTAGTTAAAATTAGAAACTGAATAACCCAAATTGTATTGCTCTGCATAACAAAGAGACGGAACTGTCTCAGAATATGGTGGGGGTGGAGGATATGAGGGGAGTGGTTCATCAGGTGGGGGAGGAGGCAGTGGTTCAGCATCAGGTGGTGGTGGAGGAATCCACTCCTCATCTGGAGGTGGTGGGGCAGCAATTTCATTCCCAGGCTCTATAGTTGGACACTCCACAGAAGGTGGAGTTGTCTGGTTTTGTTGCTCCAATGGAGGAAAGACTTTGGTAACTAATGAATCTCCAGTCATGCTATTTGCAGGAGCTTCATCAACTTCCATTTCCACATCCATGTCTATATCTTCCCCGATCCGGGTTGCATTTTTAGAGATAAATGCATCTGGGAGTGCTGTCTCATTGAGTTTTTGCAGTTTTTCTTCCACTTCCTTGCTCAGTTCAGTTGGAAGTCCAGAAGACAATGCATGGTTAGTGTTTGTATTGTCAACACTTGTATGCCTACCATGAGCTTCTCTGTGACCCAGATTTACTTTATCAACATCTGGAGAAATGTATTGTGTTTCATTAGCAGAAGTCAGTACTTGATCCTTCTCACCCACTTCAGATTCTCTTCCCATGCTTTGCAAGGAGATACCATCCCCTCTGAAGGATGAAACAGGATGATGCTCAACTTTGTTTAGCTGCTCAGATTTATCAAATTGCAAAACTTGATCATTAATGGCACAATCAAGTTGTTTAAACTGTGCTTCGCAATGCACCCAAAATGGAAGAAGAGGGGAACCATAAGCCAAAAGTGACTTAATATCAGCAAGTCGGATCTCAACTTCCATGGTGTACTTTGATATCCAGTCATATCTTTGGTCATGATTGTTGTATCTGAAAACCAAATATATACATCTGTTACATATGCAATAAGCTTTAAAGACAAAGAAAAAGCAAACAGCTTTCCATGAATCAATATTCAAAACAAAATTAACAGCAAAAGCGTTTTTTTGGAACAAAACCAGTCACACCCTTGGCCATGATACTTGTAACTGAAAAGCAAAACTATTAAGGTGTTAAATGTGCAAAAAGCTTTAAAGACTAAGAAAGAAAGATCAGAAAATTAAGCAAACAAGCATCTTTTTGTGTACCAATATTCCAAATAATAAACAGCAGAAGTGTTTTTTGAAACAAAACCCAACATGTAACTTCCATTGCAGCACATAGAAGATATACAAATTTTGGATGGATTGGCCAAACTGCAATGATCATAAGAACTACAATCCTATCTGTGTGCAGATAAAGGTTCATGCTTGGACAGTTGGCAGTCTAAAGTCCAAAAAGAGCCAAGTCTGGTCTGCCCAATCTTAATTGTGTCCAATTTTCCATGCCAACAACACTGACACATGAGTTTACCATCCTAGTATTGGAGGCCTACCTACATTCATTTTCCTAAAAACCTTCAATCATAAGATGAAAATTAACAATAGTGTACGACAATACATTCATAATTGAGTCATAATTCTGGACCTAACCATATAAATGCATACACATTTTGGAAAGAAAAATCACTAACAGTGATGCCAATAATATAATACCCTTCAAGTGACGTCAACCGTTTTAACAAGCTTTCACCATATTTTACAAGAGAAGAAGAAAGAGCCACTGCTGACTCGTGTTGCTCACTGACTACTGTTGGTTTTTCATCCTTATCATCATGAGCTGTTGTAGCTGGACCAATTGTGCTAGAAAGAGCACTATTTGACTGCTGCACAGAAACATAATCACCTAATGACAAAGCTTGCTGATGCAATACATTTAGTGTGACAGAACTCTCTGTAGATTCAATTTGCTCTGTGTTGAAACTTAAATTTAGAACATCTTGACTTTCAACTCTGTGTCCATTCCATTTCTTCTCATGAAAGCCATTTTCACAGTTTTCCTGGGTTTCAGGAGCTAATATGGAGCCTTCAGGTTCATTAATAGCAGACACATTCAAATGAAAAATTGGACTTGATGCATGTGTATCTCGGGAAGGATTCTCCTTTTCTTCAGTAATATGAGGTGTGTTCAGTTCAGTGGTTATTTCAGATCCCTGAGCCAACACACCAGGGGGTTCCCATGAAGTTTCCCCGGTCTCAGTATTCCAATAATAATACCGACCACTCTCTTCATGCATCACTATTTTCCACCCAGAAACCACTTCTCCAATGATTTGTACCCCGGAAGACCCTGGATCAGAGACTTGTGCAGCTGCATCTGCTTGGTTGTGAGGTTCTCCTGAAGCAGTAGCATCACTTCCTCTGATTTCAGCATCATTCAGATTGGAAGCAGCATTTGAATGAGTAGCATCCTTCTCCACATCCTCAACCATGACCAACTGAGCTGCAACATCTTTGCCAGTATTGTTTTCTAAAACTCCAGATTCGGTATCAGCAGCCTCCTTTACCTGTCAAAACAAATGTTTAAGATAAACTAGCTGCCATTTTATACATGGCAATAGTACTACATATTTAAGACACAATATCTAGGGGTATGGGAGAGCTTAGAGAGCTTGTACTATGAACACATTTAAGACAGGGATGTTAGGAATTAGGATTTGTAGCCATGCATGTATTAGAGAATTACTACAAGTACAGGAGAGAAGCCACAGTACCAAGTGGGTATCTGTTTTTTATCAGATATCCACAAGAAACAATAAAAAATTAAAAACAAAAACAAATATTAATACAAGGATGTTGGTTCAAAAATAAATAAAGACATAAATAAACAATGCCATGCATCTTTAATTATTATTTTTGTTGTAGGGGCAGCTTATTGATGCAATGATAGTCATACATAATAATGCAAGTCCAAGTATGAGAGCAGTTACTTCATACAAAAGGTATGCCAAAGGTAAGCCCTGTATTCAGTCTTCCCTCCCAAGACCACAGATGGCCAGGACCATCATTGTGAAATGGCCTTTTAGTATTCATGCATGTCCATGCAAGGATTAGAATATAAAGTAAAGACTGCAACATTGAGCTAACCTGTCCATTGTCTTCAATCAATGAATTCTCAGTAACATCATTTGTATCCTTCTCATTTGATTCATCCTCCAATTCATCATCACTGTATTGTCCAAGTAACAGCAAAGGATTCTCCTGGCATTGACCTGAAGACAGGATAGCAACCCATTACATACTTCTAAACAAACAAAATATCTACTTTAGCAATTTTTTTTATTATAAAGAAATATCTACTTAACAATTTTTTTGATAATAAATAAATATCTACTTAGCAATTGCCAAGTTATCAAAAGAAATCTGCTAAAATCATCACTTAAGATGCAACATGCAAGTAAAAATAGTTTTAATAAGATAGAAATTAGTGGCTGTTAACGCCTATAATGAAATCCATAGGAACATCTTAGGAATAATTTGACCATGGCCACCTGGAAGACACTTGAAGATAGTGTTAGAACACATAAAACAAATAAAGACAGAGACATACGAACCGATAAGGCAAAAATTCCCTGCTGAAATCTCCAAAACGCTTAGTTGCTGCCAAAAAGGGCATAACAGGTTGGGAGTCATTCAATATTTCATTGTGGCGGGGCTGACCTGATCTGACCATTGAATGTTCCCAAGACCTCAGCCACCCTACATTCTGAAAACCAAATGCTTTGGGCAAATAATATGACTTGTACAATATTTCCAATTTCCACCAAAAATATGCTGTGAAGGCATGTCTTCTTTATATAGTCCTTGAAGATAACTGACGGAACCCACCTGAAGTAGATGGTGAATTGGGGACTCCATCACGATAACTCTGATCTAGATCCCCTCCAACTTGATCATGTGCAGAGGAGCCACCCAAATCCCCTAGAAAATTTGTAAAAAAACTTCAAGTTAAAACAAGTACTTGGCAAATTAGCACTGACCGGTAGTCACCGCTTAAGCACATCCAAGTTACCGTGTTAGCAATACAAAAGTAGCATTGCCGAGAATACGTAAACAAAAAGTGAAAACAGAAAACCCCAATTTTTTGGCTAACATAAGAGAAAAAGAAAAACAGAACCCCATTTATCAATTCCAAATATGAGCAGCAGAAAATTAGCATAGTGATCAAGTTAAAATTGCCAAAATGAACATAAAAAATTGATCTGAAGTTTAACTTCAGCAAGCCCGACAATTTGCATTAATCACATAGAACATAAAATTCGAAATTTACTACAGTATTTATGATAACAAAAAAAAGGAGACAAGACTCAAAATTAAACTGGTTGTAAATACTTGTTAATCCGGAAGGGAGAAGAAAAATCGTCCTTTCAGCATTATTTTCAAGACCAATCGTCGTTTTCAATAGAAATAACGATAAGTAGAACAAATAATCAATAAATACGCGCTCGAAACCTAAATAGAAGAAACAGAAACAGAACTAAAGTTGGCTGGCCCATCAAGCTGCCCGGGAGGAGGGGATAATATTGAACCTTAGTCCGTAGAGTCGAGCTAAACCCTAAAAAAACAACACCTTGCATATTAAAGAAAAAAACACTTAATATTGTCAAAACAAAACATGAGAAGGAGAAAACAAAAAATCAAGAATAAACGAAGAAATCCAAAAAAAAAAAAAAAAACATATAATCCAAGAGGATAATAGAATGCACGGTTCGCAGTGAATACCAGAGGGTTCCGCAAAAAGATCGAGCTTTACTCTTCGACCAGCCGCGCTTAGAGCTGCGAGGCGGCGCTCCTTTCTCTTCCCCATCGATATGGAGTTTGGTCCCAGAAAAGATCACGAATTCGGGCTTTGTGAGCTCTCTGCAACAACGATGGAAACGGGCCGCAACGCTATTGCCCTAGAAAACAAGCCGAATAATAGAAACGCTATATAGATACTTGTTTTCGCAATCACAAAAATATCCCCATTGAACTTGGGTTGAAGTTGAACGAACTCCAGCGACCCGGCAGCAATGACCCAACCTCGGCTAACCCTCGCAATTGGATTTGATCCTCGCACCGACCTCACGGAACGTCCCACCGTTAACATCTCCCCATAGGAACGGGATCTGCTCCCCATATACAAATACAACACATAATAATACGGAAGATATTCTCGATGTGCGGCTGTCGGCTGAGTCGTTCTGTGAGGTTGTTGTGCGGATCCTTATGTTTGAACTGAGAACCAACCGGATCTCCTGCCCACGTCTACCCACATAACACTACCTTCGTGCATTGGATAGACGTGAACAGCGTTTTTGTGGGCAGGAGATCCGGACTCGCCAAGTTGTGTTTTAGATTAGGAATAGGGGCAATCATTCATAACCCGGCCTAGAAGCTTGGCCGGACCAACTCCATAATTTTTTGGGCTTGGGCCTAGATTTTCTATTCAAGCCTGACATGGGACTAGACCTGCATTATGCCTATAAATTCCTCTAAATATTTTAGATCGCAGATATTTCTAATGCCCCAGTTTTTTAATGAGCCATTTACTTGTTAAATGCACTTATCTGTGTCTTCGTTTTGAATAGAAGTGTTTCTTAGATGAGCTTAACAATGACTTTTTATCTATAAAATGTTACTATTATTAAGGGCAATTTTGTTTCATTACATTTTGTCAACTTTTCCCTGTATAAGAAAATTATTTACTCAGATAGGAAAGTTGTTTATTCACGTAGGAGATGAGTATCACTTAAAAAACTACCATGGGATCCAAACCTATGATTGTTGGTCAACAAAAACCACCTTCCCATTGACCAATCCCCTCTTCATTTATAGAAAAAATAAATAAGCCTAATGGTAAGTTTGGTTTGTGCGACCAAGATGAGAAAATATGAATATTCTTCCAAGATTCTTGCTTTTCCCTCATTTGTTTAGGACAAAATATTGAGATGTGACGAGAAATGAGTTCTAAAATTTTGGGATGTGGGGTCTTACCAAATATGTGTGACCCCATTGAGAAATGAAAATGAAGGGCACGAGTGAGAAAGTTTTATTGAGAGCGACAACTTGAGCATCATCTTCTTCCTAGACACCATCCGACAGTTAACTCACAGGTGCCATCTTCGACGATTTTTTCAAAGGTAAGGTTATATTTGGCATCCTCTTGTGATTTACATTTATTTTTTATACAATTTTTATCTTTTTTCAGTGAATGAGTTCCCCCACAAAATTTTCCCATCGTTTACCTCCATCCGTGGTCGTCCAGAGCTAGAAAACATCTTATCTACCGCTCAAGGTGTTCATTTTAACGTCAAAGCTCCAAATCTGGCTTCCGACGTATACCTTTTCCAGATATGGCATTTTTCTAGATCAGTTCTGGTTATAAATTTGTTTCAGGTTTGGCATTAGCACCGATAGTGTTGGTATCAAATAGATTTGTTTATGTTATAGATTTGTTGTTTTATTTTTGATTTGTTTCAATTCTAGCATTTTGTTGTGTTGATAATACTCAATCTCGTACCTGCATTTTTTTTTTTTTGCTTTGTTTGAAGTCATCTCAGGCAAACTAAGTTGGAATTTTTACGCTGAGGTACCACATACCCTGTGTTTGTTTGTCGTATAAAGCTCTATTTCTTTTTTCCTAGTGAAACTATTAACTTCATACCACTATGATTTTTTTCTTTTGATTCTTGTCTTTGCTAATTCATGTAACTTTATACAACAACAATCAGCTAAAGAAAAATAGATTATTCATGCCAAACAGAGGTGCAAATCTCCTTTGCTTGTTACAAATGGGTAAATCTCCTTTAATTGTTTCTTATCTAATTATGGGTAGCATTTGTAACTATGAATGTGTTTTATGGGCAACATTTAATTTATGTCTTTTTGCACAAAGGTATTTTAGAAAACTCCATAAACTAGTGGCTATCCATTTTTAACTATGAATCAAGGTTCAAAGTATTGACACGTATCGTTCCGGGACCCCTCTGATATGCCCCTACAGTGGGTGTATCAAAGGTCTAACCGGTTCAGGGGGTAGAGGAGACCTAAATCGCCCTCCTGAACCGGTTGCAAAAAAAAACAGCTCCAAAATGTGCATCCCGATACGCCCCTATCGGCGTATCGGGCATATCAATATTTTGAACCTTGCTATGAATGTACTTCAAGGGGACTTGGTTAGTTTTGATTGTTGAAATGAGCTATTTACATTGTTTTGTTTGTACAAAATCAGAAACACGAGTAATAGCGTCTTGGGTTAAAGGGTTGTGGGGGTTTTGGATATGAAAGAATGCATGTGTTGCTTGGCATGCATATTGGTGGTATGATACTGGCTAGTTATCATTGTGTAGATGCTAGACTGTTAATGCTTTCCAAAAACAATTTAACCAACAAATAAATGATCTTAAAATGGTATATTTCAGAATACCTTAGTTTGCAAATAAAATCCCCCATGATAGATAGTTCTTATCTAGGAATATATTTTTGGTGAATCCATCTGGAACAGGGCTTTGAAAATGAGGAATGCCAATGTAACTCAAAGGCCAGGAGAAACAGTGCACCATATTAGTGTATTCCCCTAGTTTGTCCTCTTCTAAGTTAATACCAACCAACGTACTTTTTTCTCAAATTATTTTTCACACTAGTCATCTACTCAGTGCACCTATTCAAAACTAAAAGATTCATTATACCTTATCACCCCCATCCTTGCAAAGAATATCGATATTATTGTTCAAATTGAAGATGAGATACGGATACTCTTGAACCTCAACTTTGGAACCTCTAATAAGATCAGATCTATATGCGCTAGAGGTAAGACAGCTACGTACACTAGCCATAGGTGTGTACGAAAGGAAGATAAGGTATCACATTGACTTCTGATCTAGAGATAAAACAAATAAATGTTTTCATTTCCATAGGCTTAATTAGATTCTTTATGTGAAAATTTTCGTGCCACATCAGTGCTAGAAAAGTAAAAACATTAAGTAGTTCTTTGATCAAGCAAAAACTTAAAAGCAACTACAATAGCAGCTTAGATGACTGGCATCACTAACAATACAAGGCAGGGATTCCCTGAGGAAGAAATGAAGAGCCTTATTTTACTATCTTTTCATCGTTCATGGCTTGAACATGAGATGAAACAAAGATTGTTATCTTTTCTAATTGTGATATGCTAAGAACAAGTATAATGAGTTAAAAATTTTTGTAGGAGGTTTTAGCAATCCTTATGGATTAACTGTTTATTTGTAATCAATGACGTCATAGCCTATGTGGCAAAACTCAGAAGACCAAAGTTCCTAGTAGCAATGCGGAGCTTCTATAAAATAGAATTCTTCAGTTTGGAGAATTGATGTGACATCTTGTTACATAACAGAGTAATGATCTGCATAAACGAGAAACTTTGGCACTCAAACTGGATTAATTCTTGGTTTCTAATAAACCACAAGGAATCAAATAATAACGTACAGTTGAAGGGCAAATAGAACCACCTTGTAAAGACATTTGCGTACCTTGAGAAACACTCAAAAGGTCTCATATTTTCCTGGTCCCCAGTTCATCAATTGCAGAACTTCTATAAAGATTTTCTCTAGTCCAAGTTTACTATGGAAGGATAGATGGAACCCTAGAGATTCAACAAATTCTGATGTTAAGACTTCATGGAATATAGGTCTTCTTACCAAGAAAAAAGTCTATGGAATATGGACTTCAACAATTCAGGGTATGTTGGGTACCGTGAATTTCAAGTACAAACATTGAGATTCAATACACAATAATACCGAACACAACCTCACATGCTATCAACTCATGGCCATGGAAAGGGTTCCCATTCAAATACGAGTATTAAGACAGGTCTCGGTAAAGAAAAATTGTAAAGACTGGTAGCATATTTTTGAAGCACCGAGAACATGGGAAAGAAAATTACTACCTTACAATATAATAATAATAATAATAATAATAATAATAATAATAATAATAATAATAATAATAATAATAATAATAATAATAATTTATGATAACAATAAGGAATCACAACTTGAATTTTATGAAAACCCTTGACAATTTCCCTGCAAAATGGCCCATCCATGCGCTCAATCATATTTTTCAAAAGATTTATGAGTTCAATCATCATCAGAGGAACTATCGGAGGAGCTGTCCAGTGGAATCCCATCCATATCATTTCCCACAGTCGTCTCCTGTAAACATGCTCCAAAAAATGGACAAAATGAAATCAACAAAGTCTTGGGAGCCAGCGTAGAGTTAAATACTCATAGAACTCGGGAACTTACCGGCATTTTATCCCAATCTTTCAATTTAGAACTTGTAAGCATATAACTATCACGTAATGGAGCCCAAGCAGGGCCATCATCACCCTGCATGTCATAAAACCGTAATCTAAGTTATCTCCATACTGAGCAAAATTAATTGGCAGGACTGGATTCTTTTAGTTTATTTTGCCTGGCTTATCAAATATGTGCACACACAACACAATCCATTTAACGATTACTTTGTGTATTATTTGCCCCTTCAAAATAATCTGTAATGGAAAATAAAATGTGTAGGAGGGGATACCTTGGCAGGAGGGTCAACAGCTTGTGATGGCTTCCGTAGCTCTGAGAAGAAAGCTTCTTTCTGCCGCTTCCCTAATGCTGTCAGAATAAAGAGTGTGCCACTCAATTAGACAAGTAAATGCACCTAAATCCTTGAAAAAAACAAATGAGGTGATCAAATATCAAAATCATAAGCTACCAAAGAATCACTTAAAGGAGAATTGCTAGTGGAAATTTTTAGTATAATTTTTCATGTAACATAATTCACCCAATTAGACTGATAAATAGGCTTTTTGATATTTGGGTAAGTCCTATTCAGAAAATTATGTAGATACATTCCATTAATTACATCTCTGCTAGGGACAAAGAAAATCTCTTGATTCTGGTTTAGAAGTACAAGTATTTTCTGTGGTTTATATATTCCCTCTTTATTTGAGAGAAAACCAGAAAATATAAATAGATAAAAATTTTCTCTATACATAACAAGCAAATAGGGACCATAATTAACCATATTCCATGAATAAGGCTGTAGATGGCCTTAATAATGATTTTTACGTGCTATTATGCAGTGAGGAACCATAATCGGCCAAGTTTTCTAAACTAGGCTGTAGATAGTTATCTCCTCGCATGCATTCCAATCTAAGACAGGGAAGAAAAGAAGGAAATAAATAAATAAAATAAATAAAGGGGTAAGAGGAGTAGAAGGAATAGATTTAGTCCTACGTCTCATGAATGAGGCTATAGGAATATCATAGTGAAGAGGTGTAGGAGGAATGCAAGATTCCCTTCCTCTTCTTTTTTCCACATTCTTCATGTCCCAATCTTCTTCTATCTTCTCCTTCACTTGTCTCTTTTTGCTGGAAATCCTAGAAGCAGAATAGTATTAACCAACAAAATGGCATTAGCCTTCTTCTCCTACAAGAAGAAGGGTTTATATAGAGGAGGGATGTGGTTAGGTAACTCCTCACCCCTCTCTTCCTAGAGTGCCAAATGTCACCCAATTTAGAATGGTCTAAGGGAAAAGAAAACTCTTTCTTCATAGGGTGACAAGTCACCTTACTTAAAGTGACTAAAGGGAAAAGACCTCTTTCTTCTTAATGTGCCATGTGTCACTTCACTTAGGCCATGTTTGGTTTGAAGGAAAGGTAGGGAAAGGAAGAAAAAGGTAGGGAAACCCATAAACCAAACACAACCATAAAGTAACCAAGAGAAGAAAAAGAGCTCTCTTGTTCTGATAGGACAGATGGTATCCCCTTAATAAATAAATGAGACACCTCACAAAATTAGGTGATATATATATATATATATTTGATCCTCTTAGGACCTACTGTTCCCATTAAATGGGCTCTACAACAGGACCATTAAATGCTTAATGGATCATTATTAAGGCCCAAATTAATTTAGGGTATACTGCTCGCTAAAATGGACTCCAGGTCCCTTTCTTTCTTAAATAAATTACTTCAGCCCACCCATAGGACTGGGCTTAGAAAATTAACTTGGAAAGAAAGGCTTTTTTTTTCTTTTTTTAAGCTGTAATTGCAAGTACTTTAATAAACTGCTCCTAATCCAGCAAAATTAAGGACTTAACAAGAAGACCAACATCAAGAGTGTTTTTTGCACCAAGGTGGGAACCAAGAACCATCTCAAGCACCCAAGCTTGAATTTTAAACAACAGAACCTAAATGTTAGAAACCAAATATTTTATCTTTACTCAGAATGTTGTTATTGTACTGTAAATTACCTTTCCAGCTTTAAATTAATATAACCTCCATATAGATGAAACAAACAAAAAAAAAAGTTGAGCAAAAGAAAGTTTCTTTCTCATAAGGATTCAATTGAGTTATCAGATGCCTTAAGATGAACCATTTAAGGAAAACACTATCCATCTGGCTGAAAACAGTGTTTTAAAAGCACAAGGGCAAGATGAGGCGTACACCTATTTTAACCAAGGCATAAAATTTTAAAAAAATTCAAAATAATATTAATTCAAAAAAATGCAAACTTATATTTTAGAAGAAACTAAATGTTATAAAAAACTTACTAACTCAAATTAAAATACATAAACATAACATATAAAACATATTGAAGCACTCAACAATGCAAGCATGTGAAAATTTCAATCTGTTCATTTCTCTCCCAATTGCATTACTTTAGGTAGTTAATGTGATTTAAACATCTTGTATTCCTATATCTACAAGATCAGCTGCATGCCTCCAACCCAACCATTATGCTTGAAAAGGCAGAAAATTAAGCCAAGGCACAAGACACAGGCATGTGCCTTTGTCAAAGGGGCTGCTCTTGGGCCCGCAAGGCTTGTAAGTTGAAATGCGCCTCTCTTGTGCACCTAGGCACACCTTTGAAATCAATGGCTGAAAATTTGCAAAACCATACAAAATGAATGTAGGGAACTTTACCCTTATCTTCTTTTTTCTTACCATATCTACAATAGAAATTATGCAGGAAACAACAAAATTATGGCAACATAGAGACAAATAACAAAGCAGGAAAAAAAGCGTGCAAGTAAGAGAGAGAGAGAGAGAGAGAGATTGTAGGACTGTTCAGAACAGGGCAGAAATGGAAATTGGGATGCAATGGGAATCCTAAATCCACTATTTTTAGTGTAAAGCATTTCAGCTCTTAAAGTTGGCATTGGCACTTATATAAACCAAATGCAGTGGTTCTTGAAACAAAACAGTAAAGCAGGGAAGGTAGCAGTATATGCTATTTTTTTGGTCAATTTAGGGGTTACAGGATAACTAGTGGAGTCATTGGATGATCTTTACTATAAACTGACATTACCAGAGATTTGGAGAAGCACATCGTTCCATTGGTTCATCTTTTGAGTGATTGGAAGAGAGTTTCTATCACATTCATTGTATAAGATCATATGGGACAATCATGGGAATTCCTCTAAAGCCAAGTCCTCCCTTTAACCTCATCCATGGAAACCTTAACTGACAATTCTTTGTCATCAAACCAAATGTTTAATTATGGGCATCAAAGGGTTAACAAATGCTCCCTAAACTGACTCCATAGTTTATAGCATCATTTTGTAAGGTTAAGGAACCATCTCCAAGAGATGCTAAAGAAGTCCTTGTGCAATGGTACATCGTTTAGGAAAAGAAGAGAAAAGAACCTTAAGTTTATCCAATCTGACGTGCACACATAACTAAGTGTACCACATGACATACTAGCTTCCAGAACATCCTGAGTTGTGTTTAATCTAGGGCCCTTGTAGTCATTTTATGATGTTTCAACACAAAATCAACTGGACTTTCTCCTGCCTTACGATGTATTTAAAGTGAGAGGTGAAAGAAAACCACACATGACTTCTAGTGCCAAAGACAAAAAGCAAAGTGTGTGTGCACCTGGAAGTGTTGCATAGAGCCATGGACAAACACAAACATGGATCAGAAGTTCAGAAGCCAAAATGCATCCAAGAGTCTAATTTAGCAAGATGAGAAAACAGGCTTGAGTATACATATATGAAAAAGTAGATACTATTAAAATAATTCATATGTTTTTGAATTCTAACACTATATACCTACAAAATTTGTTGCCTCTGTTACTCAGCGACATTTAATAAAAAAAGAGAATTCATCTTCAATATTACTTATTCATTTATGTCAAATAAGCTAGGAGAGAAAAAGGAAATGCTACATAGAATTGCCTCAAAAGCCCATGAACATCCGCTTGCTTTTTATTCCACTTTGAATCTGTTTTATAAGTGATGCTTATTTTGTCTGTTTTTTTTTTTTTGTGTGTGGAAAGCCAGCTTAAAGAAAATCAACACTTATGACCTCCTTCAGAAAAAGAACCATGGAAGGTCTTATCTATCTCCTCATGTTTGACGTTTCTACCTTAAAGCTGGGGAATCTACCAACCATATCCTGCTCCACTGTGAGGAAACTAGAAAATTTTGGAACGCTTTTCTATCATTATTTGAATACAGCTGGGTTTTCCCAGAAAATGTGGTTGAATGCTTAGGGCAATGGTCAGGAAGAGGATTAAGCAAAAGAGGGAAAACTTTATGGCAATCTGCTGCACATGCTATTTTCTGGAGCATTTGGGAAGAGAGAAACAACCGGGTGTATACCAACAGAACAAAAAACTTTGAGGAGCTGATTTCTCTAATATGTTACAGATGCGTCTTGTGGACTTCCAGCTCAACTCACTTCAGATGTGTCACCTTTGATGACCTCCAAAGAAACACCGTAAATTTCCTTCACTCTAATCAAATGTAACTAGTCACTCCCCGCAGTTTCAGATCTGATGTGGAAGGCGAGACGACCTTGTACTTTGATGGGAGTGCTTTTGGAAACCCAGGTGTAGCGGGTATTGGAGGTGTAATTCCAAATAGAAATGGTATTATCAGTTGGGCTTTTAGTGGACCGATTGGGATAGCCTCCTCAACAAAGGCCGAAGTCATGGCAGCTCTAACCAGCATCGGGATTGCAAATGACATGGGCTTAGGTAGCGTTTAATAAATCTGAAAATTCAGATCTGAAAAGTTAAAAAAATATTAAATGTGTCTGAAATCTGAAAAGAGGTATAGTTGCTTTTCTACTTTTTATAAGATCTGAATCCATGAGTTTGTTTGTGTTGGATCAACCTTTTACCATCTAAAATTTATTGATTTTACTATTTTACCCCTAAAATATACAATTTGAAAATGTTGAATTCAAATTACATTCTCATAAAAATTAATTTTCAACCTCAAAATAATATTGAAACAATATAAATAATAAATAATAAATTAATAATTACTAATTAATAAATGAAACAATTAAAATTAAAAAAGTAAATAATGATTATAAAAATATTAAAATAATTAATAATTTACACAAATAAAAATTAAAATAATTTTTAAAAATTAATGAAATAATTAAAATTTATTAGTTAATAAAAATAATTAATAATTAATAAATAACACAAGTAAATTTAATAAAAATAATTAATGTTTAATAAAAATATTAAAATAATTAATAAAAATATTTTATAATTAACAATTAATAAAAACATATTATTATTCACCAAAGTACCGAACCACCACTGCTGTTGCAGCGGCAGTGGCGGTGGTAGGAAGACATGGGAGGGAGAGAGAGAAAAGTTAGGGGGAGAGAGCGAGAGAGAGCCACCGCTGGGGGGAGAGAGAGAAAACAGTGGCGGTGGCAATGGTGGGAATACAGGGGAGAGAGAAAGAGAGAGAGAGAGAGAGAGAGAGAGTGAGAGCGAGAGAAGACATGGGGAGAGAAAGCCGCTGCTGGCAGGAATACAGGGGGCAAAGAGAGAGAGAGCGAGAGCGAGAGAAGATAGAGGGAGAGAGCCACCGCTGCAAGTTGCAGTGGCGGTGGCGGGAATATAGGGCGAAGAGCGAACGAGAGAGAGAGAGCCGCTGCAAGTTGCAGCAGCGGTGGCAAGAAGGCAGGGCGGAGGGAGAGAGAGGTTGAATGTTTTGGTTTTCTAGGTTTGGGGTATCAAGGGTAATTCGGGTCATTTACGAAAAATTGTAAGGATATTTTGGACATTGGGCCGGCTCTGAAACACGTTTGAACGCATTAAGAGACAGCCCAAGGTCTGTGATTTTCAGATCTGAAAATTAGTTTCAGACCCAATTTAAGAGGTACAACCAAACAAGGAGTGAGGTCTGAAAAGTAGCATTTTCAGATTCAGCAGACCTCTAAAAAGTGCAATCAAACGGCACCTTACTAAATCTTACCATTAAAGAAGATTCAGCTAACAGCCTAACACCGTTAATTGGCTTTCTAATCCTGACAGTGGGCCTTGGGCCTAAGCTCACTACCTGGCTGAAGCGAGAGACATCCTCGCTTCTTTAAATGCCCATGTGGTCTGGATTCCGAGGGAGCTAAACTCTGAAGCTGATAATCTAGCTAAATCTGATGCTCACAGGGATTCCAAAAACCGGAAGTACCGATTCGGTTACAAAAAAAAGGCCCACGGTTCGGTACCCTTATCTAGTAGGTCATGATTAACAAAACAACATATCTTCTATCACTTGTCTGTGATGTCTGCTTCCATGGTCCATTGGTCCAGATACTGCTTTGATTTATAAAGAACTTCACATGTGTAATAACCTTTGCAGTTCAATCATATCACAAATTAATACCCAAAGAAATAAGAAAGTACAAAAAAAGAAGGTTTTGCATATATTGAGATTACTGACCATAGTCAATAGCAGTTCAAGCCCACGGAGATACAGGAATCTGTTGAGGGACATTGGAAGGATAATAAGAGAGATTAGGGGGTTGAGATAACATGGATCCCGAGGGAGGGGAACAGCATGGCGGACACACTAGGCAAGTAATGGGTACATATAAGAAATAAGTATTGGGGGGGATCATCTCAGGAGACCAGGGTGACCAGTATGATTATATATATGACAAAAGCTTGTCTTATTTGTCCTTCATTGAGAAATATTCTTGATTACCTTTTTACATTCTTGATATGGGGTAAGATTAACAGTACGACCATATAATCATGCCAAGTAAACAAAATCCATGTTGAACAAAGAAAGATTAGTGAGTCGCAAGCCCAAAGAAATCATTCGAAAATTCAAACTTCATAACAACAAAAACGGAAATAAGAAAAAGGAATAGCTCATGAACAATCTTATTCATGTTAAGACAACCAAGATGAATAGCAGCAATCACAAATAAAACCATTCAAATGTTTCATGAAGATCTCATTTGCAAATTTCATAATAGAACAGAGGCTGCTCAAACTTTTATTGGTTACAGATTTCCATTAGTATACCTTTTGCATCTTTAAACCTTGATGGATTTAATCCTTTTTGAGCATTTTGTGCTTTGTTTACCTGTATAATGTGTTCAATACAAGCATACATAAGCATACAACACAGTAGCTAGAGTACAATAAAAATTTACACAATTAACTTTTCTTTTTGGATTGTTGAAAATGCACAGGAAAAAAGGTGAAAACACAAGTGCCAACTTACAGCATTAAAGAGCTTGACCACTTGAGCACCAGCAACAATGCAGATATGCAAACCAAATTAGTTGATAAAAGATTAGAAAAAGAAAACAAAACAAAACAAAACTTGAGGAAAATAAATGCCCCTTATGACACAAAGCTCAACCAAAAACGAACTCATACCTCCTTTTGTAGCAACGCTGATAAGAAATTTTTCACGTGAATCCAAGAAATTAGCAGGCTTCACATGCCCTTTTTCTCCAACCTGCAAAATCACATAACACAAGATAATAAATAGCAAATTAGATTTGGCAATAACCCTTCCTTTAGGGTGCATTTGTATGTTTGGTATATATCTCATTCACATATTTCATTAGTAAACTCTCTTGCTATCAAAGAAAAAAAAATGTAAAATTATATTTGAATTTTGGAATATAGTTAAAACGTGGACAACACACACGCACACAGGCAGAGGCAGACACAGAGAGGGGTTTAATAACAAATTACCAAATGTTTCTCCTTCTTAGCATCCCCCTTGGACTTCCATTCAGCTTCTTCTTCAGCAAGCTTCTTGGCAATAAGCCTCTTCTGTGCTGACAAGACAGGACCCTGCCAAGACAGTAAAATCTTAGAGGGCTTACTTATTATTAATAAAGAAAAATCTAATAACTCAAACTGCTTACCGCTTACCAGTGAATTATCTGACACATTTGTCTTAGTGATCTTCATGAAGGCTACTCTGAATGCTCTACAACCTTCTGTGAACTTTGTAATTCCTGGCTGAGTTCTATCTCCCTCATCTTCAGAATCCCCCTTTTCTTCAACAGCATCAGGATCAGAGCCATCTATACCCTCCTCTTCACTAGAATTCCCAACTGAAAACTCTTCAAGAGGTCTTGTATTAGCTTCTCCAACTTCAGGGTTAGCCTCATCATCATCATCATCAGAATTGTACTCTCTTGCCCTCTTGCGAAACAACTTTTTCATTTTCTTATCTATTTTGACCTTTCCTCCAGTACCTGAAAAGATTTTTACTCTCTTCCTTTCCTTGCGATCCTTACTGCGCCTAGATTTTCTCTTCTTAATGCCTTCTATTTTTTCTGGCAGGTGAATTGCTGTATCCATGACCTAATATTTTGGAGTCTTCTTTTCTTGGCTTCTAAAAAGACCCTAGAATATTGAAACCAATTACCATAAGAATTTGCAATTAGAAATTTCACATCAATACTAATCTAACATTTTTTAGGTCTGTTTTATGGGTGAATTTTACTATTGACCAAGTTGAAAGAAACATGAACTATGGGTTTGGGGGCAATATGGACATAATTTATGCTTAGACCTTCAGAATTCACAAGACTTCGAAGAAAGTAGAGCTGCTCACAAAGACAGTCAAACCGACCAGACCGGCCCTATCCAACCCAATCTGGTCGGTTTTGGGTCAATAAAATATACAACCATGAAACCGAAACCGAACCGATTATGATGTAATATATAAATTGATATATACGGGTGGTTGGAATCCATTTTACATACATTTTGGCATTGGTTTTGGAGTTACAAACTTAAACACCAAAATAGAAACTTAACTCCTTTTATCTTTTCAATAAAGAGACAACCTATGCCAACCTATGGACACTATCTATAGCAGTGTTTTAAAAGCGCAAGGCACAAGGGCCATTTTGCGCCTGAGGCTCAAGGCGAGGCATGCACCTTTTTGAGGCAAGGCGCACAATTTAAAAAAAAATGCAAAAAAATCGAAAAAATGTAAAAAAATCAAAAAATTATAAAACATAATATTAAAAAAATATTAACTTAAGTTTTAAAATAAATGTTTTAAAAAACCTATTATCTAAAATTAAAATACATAAATATAATATGTAAAGCATATTCAAATGAGAATTTAAAAATGAAATCAAACATATAAAACATTTTCAAGCATATAAAACCCACAATCTCTTTTTTTTCTCAATTGCATCAAGTAGCTAATGTAATATATTACATTCCTAATTCTACGAGTCGCCTTTGTGCCACACCCCTTGAGGCAATCCCAAACAAGTCCATGTTAGGGTCTTACATTCTTAGATTTCACACAAAAAATAATAATTTTATAGTTTGAATTGCTTTTAAGAAGATATTTTATTAAGACGAATGAATGGACAACATTACCAACTGGCCTTGGGGGGCGTGGCATGGGGTCCGGGGGCGGAGCCCCCGGCCCAGCGGCCAGACTCAAAAAAGGGAAAAAGCAACAAATTTTCAAAAGGCACACGCCTAGGCACACCAGGTGTGCGCCTTTTGAATGGGTTGCGCCTAGGACCTGGGCAAGGCACCTACCCTAAAATGCGCCTCGCCTGAGCACCTAGGCATGCCTTTTAAACCACTGATCTATAGAGCCTGCCTATAGAGCTAGCCTATAGAGCCTGCCTATTAAACACCTTATAGAACCAACCTATAGACACACTTTGTAGAGCCAGCCTATTAGACAGTGTTTGACTCAAATCCCTTTCCTTGAAAGGAGCGGCAAATTTGAAGGGCTTCAGAGCTATCAGCTTGATAGGAAGTGTTTGCAAGGTTCTGGCTAAGACTCTAGCCACAAGGCTAAGGAAGGTGATGGGTGCTATTGTTTCAGCATACCAAGGAGCTTGTGTTCACAACAAACATATTCAGGATGGAGTTCTTGTAGCTAACAAACTCATCAATTCAAGGAAGAAATGTGGAAAGACAGGTTCGGTTTGCAAAATTGATCTAGAGAAAGCCCATGATCAATGTCAACTAGGATTTATTGGATTATATGATGACAAAAATGCACTTTGGGTCCAAGTGGAGGAGCTGGATGAAGGTGTGCATCACCACACCAAAGTTCTAAGTGTTGATAAATGGTACTTCTAAAGGCAATTTCAAAAGCTCTAGAGGTTTGAGGCAAGGTGATGATGGTGGTCCACTATCATCCTATTATTTCTCATGGCGATGGAGGGCCTAAGTAAATTGGCTGATTGAGGTTCAGACTTGGATTGGTTGGAGGGGTTTGAAAGCTCTAGCAATGGCACTAAAATTCCTCTATTACAGCTTGCAGAAGACACACTCTTCCTCTGAAATGCTTCTCCAACTCAAGTACTGAATTTAACACACATCCTATACTGGTTTAAGATAGTATCAGGTCTGAATTGATCAAGAAAAAGATAGTATCAGGTCTGAAAGTCAATTTATCCAAAAGTGAGACGCTAGCAGTTGGAATAGTAACCAATGTTCATGAACTGGCCAAAATTTTAAGGTGCAACTATGCAAGGTAGGTAGTTTGAAGGACATTTGGGACCCAATTTTAGAGAGGATGGACACAAACATGACAGCTTGGAAAACCCGGTACCTCTCTAAAGGGGGTAAAGTCACATTCATCAAACGTGTTTTGGCAAGTCTATCAGACTTTCATGCTGACATTCTTTTGTTGAGAAAGACCATCTCATTCCTTTCCTCCCGAACTGTCCATGGTACAACAGCTCTTAGACATTGGCACATTGCAGAGAGGCTCAGTGACTTTGTATTATATCATTGAATCAGGGTATGTTTACTTTGTTTCTGTTTTGTATTATAACACCGTTCCAATGGGAAGGGCTTGGTCTTGATCTTGCTTGAAAACGGGAGTCTTTCAAGATTCAAGTTATTCAGACCAACTCCTATGAGATTGAATTCTAAAATGTTAAAACCTTGCTTAGCTTTTACTTAGTCACTTCTGTATTCATAATTTCATTCTATATATGGTTTCCATTTTATGCTTAGTGTTTTGTAAAATTTTATGAAAGAGAATTGCATATGTTTCTCCCCTCATATTCCCTGTTTGACCAATTATTTTGGGCCTGCCAAACCATCTCAACTTTCAAAAATTACATGTCACCTTCTGCCCTACTTGCTTCCAAGCATCCAAGAATTTAAAACAAGATACAGAAAAAGTCATTATTCATAGGCTCAAGAAATGACATTAGATTGCAAGTTGCCTTTGGAAGATAAAGTTCCTGCAAATAACTATGTTCACAGAGGTCAGAAGCAGCCTTAGTTGCTTTTATGCTACACTATGATATATTGATTCAATTAATATGAACTTATGAAGCACTAAAGCTTATTTGCTCCTTTTTGGCATCCATTGGATTTTTTTTTTTGATGAATAGTTCTTTGGATTTAATTTGTTCATAGATTGTAATTGCCCATATAAAGGTTTAATTCAAGCCATTGATTTAGTGGCATTGGGGAATGACTCCAATTGTTTAAATAGAAGAGAAGAAAATCTCTTGTTTTTCATGACAAAATTTTCACCCTCTTTCATGATATCAGATATAAGATAATAAGGCTTCTATGTCTCACTTAATCTGTTTTAACAGTGTTTTCTTGTCAGAGAAAAAACTGGCTAAAACACAGAAAATTGCAAAAAAAAATACATAAAAATACTGAAAAAATACAAAAAACAACAGAAAAATTCAAAGCTCACCGCCGGCCGCCGCTGCTCCTTGTTGCTGCTGATTACAAGAAGAAATCCGCCGCAGATGAAGCCCTTCTGTGAGGAATGAAGGCTGTAATCGCCAGTCGCAGTAGATGAAGCCCTTCTGTGAGTAAGGAAGGCTGTAATCGCCGATCGCCGTAGATGAAGCCCTTCTGTGAGGAAAGAAGGCTGTAGTCGCCGGTCGCTGTAGATGAAGCGTTTTTTATGAAGGAAATCCGCCGTAGTCGCCGATCGTCGTGATTTACCGTCGGTCGGGACTGCCGCAGGTCGTTGGTCGCGCCGTCGGGGTATGAGGTCTGAGAGGAAGGAAGTCTGCAAGGGTTAGAACGAAAGTAACCCTAACTCGTAAGGCTGGAATCGGGGGACATGAATGTCATTTTCTTGTTTTTTTTTAAATCCAGTGAAAAGAAATTTCGCAACCCGCGAACCGTTACTCGGGTCGAACGATTTATCGGTTTGACCACCCGGGTTAGCGGTTTCTGACCTTTTCAACGGTTATTTAGGAAATAGCGGTTTACAGTATAACCGGATTCGGGGGCTGAATGGTTACCGGTTTTTACGGTCCGACCGTCCGGTCCGGATTTGAAAACCATACTTCTGTTTCTTTCCGGGTAAATTACATAATGTCACCCTATACACTTAATCCCCCAAACTTTTATTTACAACGAAGGCCCACCGTGAACTTCAACTGCCAACACTTTGCCCGCACAGTTAGCATTTCATCAGTTAACCCCATAAAAGATTCTGTGATTGTCATGTACATGTTTAAACATTTTTAAAACGCCAGACTGCACTTATATCATTTTATGACATGGTTTTCAAAGTCAGATGGGACCGGATGGTCGGACTGGAAAAACTGGGAATTGATTCCGTTTTTTCCCAAAAATTGGATTTCCCCTCAAAACCGTTGATTTTGGTCAGCGAATCGCTGAACCAAATGGTTAATCGTTTGAATCATTCGAATGGTTTTGATCATTTTTTTATTTTTTTGAATTTTTTATTAGAATGGGTTGAGCGTTCGGTTTGAATGATCAGACTGTTCAACCCGGTAACCAGACCCCTAACCAGTTCGATTTTAAAAACCATGTTTTATGAGACCATTTAGTAGAACATTGATAACATGGAATAAAAAAAAAGTAGGAAAATGCAAAAAAAAAAAGGAAATACATTAAAGAAAAAAGATGAAAATAAAATAAAACACCAAAGTGGAAAATTGAAGAAAACATCAAAACATAACAAAAGAAGATACAGAAAACACTGGAAATTATAAAAAAAAAAAAGAAATACAACAATAAGGAAATTGAAAAAATACACAAAAAAAAATACAGACAAAGAGAGGGAAGTAAAAAAAAAAGACAGAAATACAAAAGAATACAGAATAATAATATTGTATCTCACACATCAATAATAACAGTTACAGACTACTAATACAGACAACAGTCTTGCTAAATTTGCCATGCTAGTACTTAAATAAGAAAATTTCTTGGTAAATGTCTATCCAAGTTCCCGCCAGTGGTCTCTCTTAATATAATAGAGTTAGAGTGCAGCTTCCAATAGCGGTCATGTTGACCTTGTCAGGGGCATTCTCCAAACAATTAGTAACTGCTTCATGGAGACATAGACTTCTTTTTGCATTGAAATGAAGACAAATCTATCAAATTCAAGCATAGTTATCAAAACTCCAAATAATGAAGGAAAAGGTAGAGAGAGGAAGGGAAACATAGGGAAATCTATCCAATGTTTGTAAAGGTTTCCTTAAATTTCCCTTCCTCTTTCTATTTTTTCCATCAAACCTAATACAGCCTAATTGATCCCTTTATTCATGATGATGGAACAACCACCTACTAAGACATTCCTCCTAGTCCCTAATGATCGTTATTGTTAGCCCAGCCCACAAATTTCAGGCCTCGGCCTGGTTAACAATTTCCATAGTATTGGGAAATTGTTGTACATAAAGCCCATGGTTTTTGAACCGTTATTGACTCAGACAGTCGGATTGTTTGACCTAGAAACTGTTCAAAAAACTAGTTCCGGGTTTTACCCAAAACCCGGTCCATAGACAAGAGCCCTTGAATCGGTCAACAATCTTGAGCGGTCAAACCATTCAACCCATTTTTGTCATAATGGACCATCCATTTGGACCAGAAGATTTAATCGTCGACCCAGAGACCGGTAGCCATAACGCCATAACGGTTCCGATTCTGGGTCATTTTTTTAAAACATTGCTAAAAACCTTTAACCAATGGATACGAGTTAGCTTGTAGGCCTAGAAGACCCATAAGCCTGTGAAGGGGTGGGTCAAGTCCAGGTCGGGCCAGGGCCTAGCCGCCTAGAACCCTAGGTTAAGCCCCTTTTCCTAGGTGCTAAGCCCGGCCTAGCCCTTGCTCATGTAACCTTGTCTGTCACTTTGGTCATATTTGAATCCAATCCGACACTATTAATTGCAAATTTGATCGATCGGATCTCATAAACATTGATTTAAATTGAATATGATGAATAAGTCAGATGTTCAAATATGGTTCAAGCCGATTTGTTTTTTTTAATAATAATTTCTTAAAGGAAATAAAATATAACACTTTAAATAAAGAAAAAGAAAAAATACAAGTATCTTTTCAACTATTTTCATCATATATACATGTTTTTTTGCAAATAATAAATGATATAATAAATTTACAAAAATACAATGTAAATAATATATTTATAAATAAATAACATATATATTTATATAAATAAATAACATATATATCGGGTCAGATCTTCTCGAATCAAATAGGGGGTGATCTGAATTCAACCCGATTTCTGATCAGATCCTATTATCTGATCCGATCTGAATATAAAAAATGGGAATATCCGAATATGATAACATAGACCGGACTTCGGATCGGATCAGATCATGCACCCCTACCACCAAAATTCTTTGTTCTATCCTTTCAAGTCCAATTTTTCTAGATTCACCAATCCTTTTCTTACCTCAAAAGATGAGGCACTCGACCATATTGTTATTACTTATCACCATTCATTGTGACAGAATCTACTTTATCAGAGTAAAGTAGAGGGTATAAATATATGACCATCAAGATAGAAAGACGAAGTTATTGTGCGTGTAGATGTCACCAAGACCATGCTAGAGCATTATGGAACAAGCTTGAAACAGAATGAACATGAGCTGGACGTGCAGTTAATAAAAAGAAATGTGCAAATAAAGTGGTCAAGAGTTCATGATTCCAACTCTTATTGCTTGTGGAATGAGAATTCCAACAGCTTTTATATAAATAAATTCAAAAGACGTTACAATTAGGGGGTGTTCTTTTTTTGGATTTTGAGAGGGGGGAAGTTGGTTAATGGGATTTTGCTTCCCATTGATCAAGAATTTCATGTTTGTTTTCAGATTTATATGGGGACCAGAGAAAGTTTATTTTCCTGTGTATCACTTACCCCATCTCTTAAGTGGGTAAAAATAACTTTCCCACCTAGGGGGAAAGTTGCACTTACCCGAATAAGTATTTCTCAAGAAAAACTTACTCAAGTAACTGCATTTACCTGGATAAGTAATTTACCGAAAAGCAAGCGTGGTCTTAATTAAAACTAACCACTTTCACTATGGGAAAACCGATAAATAGCACAGTTTTGAAAGGCACCAAATGGCCGCTAAAAGTAGTACCATATAGCAGCAGTCGTTTAAAACTGTCGCTAAAGACAGTGGTGATTGTAGGAATGGCAACGAGGCAAGGATTACATTTCCCATCCCCAACCCCATTTTCCAAATCATCCCCCCACCCTGTCCCCGGTCCTCGTCGGGGAAAGAAATTGTCCCCAACCCCAATGGGGGTGGGCTCCCCGTTGGAGACCCCGATCCCCAATTGGTACTAGTTCCTAACAAGTTTCAACACTAAATTTTGGCATTGGTTCATAGTAGGTTTCAGCACAAAATCAAAAGAAATTTTTCGTAGTTCTATCCCTTTGAAATACATTAATCCAGAAAATTAGAAGGAGATGAAACTGTACTTACAAAAATCTCCAATGGAATTTTGAAGTTTCAAATCTATAATCTATTGGCTATGGTGGAGAACTAGAGATTCCTGTTTTACGGGAAAATAGAGAGGTTTATAGAGACTTCAAATTTCAGAAATTAGACTTGTGAGTTGTGAGTTAAGAGAGAGAGAGAGAGAAGACTGTTGCCTCACCTGAAGTCTAAAGAGTGGAAGACTAGAAGTCCTAGTAAACCAAACTATCGAAGACGAAGAAGAAGAGTATAAGAGAAGTAGGGTTCAATGGCCGCCCAGGTTATCACTTCACTTATGTTCTATCAAGTCTCCAGTGTTATGTGTCGATACCTTTTTAAGTTTTTGCTAATTTGTTTTGGAGCAAATTTCTTAAAATACCCTAAGGTTTAGGAAATTAACTAAATATACCCCTACTGTTTTAGTATTGTCTTAAAGTACCCCTACTGTTTCTAACAATTAACAAGCTCTACCCTTATCGTTATCATTTGTTAATATTCCGTCAAATTCCATACACATGTGACACCATGTGACGTATAAATTTTTAAAACCTAATTTTACCCTTCACTCTCTATCTCTTTCTCTCTCTCTCTCTCTCTCCTTCCCTTTCATTCTCTCCCCTGTTTCATCACCACTGTTGCAACACCTCTGACACCTCTCTTTCTTTCTACAACTCATTTCATCACCATAGCAGCGAATAGTTTAAGGAATAAAAAGACTAAATCTTCCTTGATCATCTCCATCGAGCACCACCTCACTCCTGAAATCTACCTCTGGCTTACGAGGATGTAAGCGAAGCTGCACTGCCGACTAGTAAACAGATGTCACAGAGTTGGATTTGAGCAGTTTTGAGGGAAGTATTCAAGGACCGAGAGAGAAAGAGGCCGGATGTGGACCAAGAGAGAGAACGATGAAGGGGAGGGAGAGAGGGAGTGAGGGAGAGAGAGAGAGAGAGAGAGAGAGAGGATGTGGAGGGTCCGTCGTTGCTGCGATGATGAGTTCTTTCTTTTTCAGTTCATCATCAGGCCTCTCTATCGAGGAGAACAGGGGAGTTGTAGCGGCTGAGCTCTCCTCCTAATCCTTATTGAATCCGGCAAAAATCTAAGTTGTCTTAGTCTCATTATTCTTCCCTTGTTATTTTCCCTCACTATATCACCGTTCTTTTACCACTGGGATTGTTGGTGGAGCCTAGGGTGATAATTTCAGCCTGCCTTGGCTCGACCCACATCAAGCCTGCAAAGTTTAGTGTCGGGCTTGGGCTTAATACTTCAAGCCCAGCCCAAGCCCAGGCCGGCCCGCATATATTTAAACTTACACATTTTGTGTATAATGTATACATAT